AACTTCAGAAGTTTGTAAGTTACTTTGTGAACTTCAGAAGTTTGTAAGTTACTTTGTGAACTTCAGAAGTTTGTAAGTTACTTTGTGAACTTCAGAAGTTTGTAAGTTACTTTGTGAACTTCAGAAGTTTGTAAGTTACTTTGTGAACTTCAGAAGTTTGTAAGTTACTTTGTGAACTTCAGAAGTTTGTAAGTTACTTTGTGAACTTCAGAAGTTTGTAAGTTACTTTGTGAACTTCAGAAGTTTGTAAGTTACTTTGTGAACTTCAGAAGTTTGTAAGTTACTTTGTGAACTTCAGAAGTTTGTAAGTTTACTTTGTGAACTTCAGAAGTTTGTAAGTTACTTTGTGAACTTCAGAAGTTTGTAAGTTACTTTGTGAACTTCAGAAGTTTGTAAGTTACTTTGTGAACTTTAGAAGTTTGTAAGTTACTTTGTGAACTTCAGAAGTTTGTAAGTTACTTTGTGAACTTCAGAAGTTTGTAAGTTACTTTGTGAACTTCAGAAGTTTGTAAGTTACTTTGTGAACTTCAGAAGTTTGTAAGTTACTTTGTGAACTTCAGAAGTTTGTAAGTTACTTTGTGAACTTCAGAAGTTTGTAAGTTACTTTGTGAACTTCAGAAGTTTGGTAAGTTACTTTGTGAACTTCAGAAGTTTGTAAGTTACTTTGTGAACTTCAGAAGTTTGTAAGTTACTTTGTGAACTTCAGAAGTTTGTAAGTTACTTTGTGAACTTCAGAAGTTTGTAAGTTACTTTTGAACTTCAGAAGTTTTGTAAGTTACTTTGTGAACTTCAGAAGTTTGTAAGTTACTTTGTGAACTTCAGAAGTTTGTAAGTTACTTTGTGAACTTCAGAAGTTTGTAAGTTACTTTGTGAACTTCAGAAGTTTGTAAGTTACTTTGTGAACTTTAGAAGTTTGTAAGTTTACTTTGTGAACTTCAGAAGTTTGTAAGTTACTTTGTGAACTTCAGAAGTTTGTAATTTACTTTGTGAACTCAGAAGTTTGTAAGTTACTTTGTGAACTTCAGAAGTTTGTAAGTTACTTTGTGAACTTCAGAAGTTTGTAAGTTACTTTGTGAACTTCAGAAGTTTGTAAGTTACTTTGTGAACTTCAGAAGTTTGTAAGTTACTTTGTGAACTTCAGAAGTTTGTAAGTTACTTTGTGAACTTCAGAAGTTTGTAAGTTACTTTGTGAACTTCAGAAGTTTGTAAGAGTTCAAACAGTAATATTTGGAGGTGTTAAAGTAGTTTGTCAACATTATTAGTGTTCCTCTTAACTGACTTCTCATTTAAACAATAATTTAGCTTCCTCGGATCAAACTTCACTTTTAGACTTCCTGGCGATGTAAGTTTTTATTCAGGTATAAATATTATCACATGTATGTAGCTTAACTAGGTTAAATCCCTGGCAAAAAAAGCCAGTGAATTAAGGTCCCATTGTAGTTGTTTGTGAAGGAAGGTTGTTGTTGTAGGTGAAACAAATGGACTTAACATTTAGTTGGGATTTTTAACCCCGGAGGGTTAGCCACTGGGTCACTTAAGAACATAAGAACGAAGGAACACTGCAGAAGGCCTACTGGCCCATGCGAGGCAGGTCCAAGTCTCCTACCGGCTTAAACCAATGCACTCAACCTAGTCAGGTCAGGTCACATTGACTTAAGGAAGGAACACGGCAAACACACCCACCCACATCCACTCATGTATTTATCCAACCTATTTTTAAAGCTACACAACGTTCTGGCCTCTATAACTGTACTTGGGAGTTTGTTCCACTCATCCACAACTCTATTACCAAACAGTACTTTCCTATATCCTTCCTGATTCTGAATTTTTCCAACTTAAAACCATTGCTGCGAGTCCTATGTAGGCTAGATATTTTCAGCACACTATTTACATCCCCTTTATTTATTCCTGTCTTCCTTACTCTCATACATCAAGGAAATACATCAGCTAATGTTATAATGCCAATTTAAAGAATTTTAGACTTGCCATTGTTTGCTTTGCAAGACACTTATTTATACTTGTAGTAACTGCATAGAAATACTATGTTTTATTTAGGTGAGAAGTGCATTGTCTGAAGGTTTATGTTGCAGTTTGCAGTTGTTTTAACTATATCTATGTCCTTCTGGGTACCAGTGAAGGAGTCAGTGAAAGTATTTTCTGTGTAAAGTTACACTACCTTGTTCAGTGTTAAATAATTTAACTTTTAACAGTACTTTTTTCTAGTACATTTTGTATAAATTAGCCTAGGATAACTTGTTAAAGTACTTCAGATAATGTTTATTAACTTTACAGAACTGAAATAGATTGAAGTCAGTATAATGGGCAAGTTTCTTCTCAAGTAGACAGTGAGGCTTCAGAAACTCCCATGTAGACATTTTGAAGGGTAAGTTTATCCATCAGGATTACCATGCACTCTTATAAATTTTTATTTCTATACTGTTTTCTTAATGGAAAACAGAGTGCAAATACAATATAATAGTGGGTACCCCGAGTTTCGTACATAATTCGTTCCACAAGGGTTTTAAAGTGCCATTACCAAACGAATTTGTTCCCATAAGGAATGTAAATTAAATTAGTCAGTTTCAGACCCCTAAAAAATACTTACAAAAGCACTTGCAATAATACTTACATAATTGTTAGTTGGGAGCTGTACAAAACTTGGGGTACCCACTGTAATCCTTTATTGTATTGTCATAAAGGATTCCATTAATACATTTGTCTTGCCATATAGTCAATATTTTATTCCATTTCCCCCTGTTTTCTGATATTGTTTCAAGCTTCTCCATGTTGGCCTACAGTAATATTTAGGTATTTGCAGTTAAGCAGTCCAGTCATTCTGGGAATCATTTTCTTACTGCTGAATGATTATGCAATAATGAATAGGCAGTATTACACCAAACTGGAATCTGAAGGAATATGCAGCAGAGCTGTCTGCTTAAAATTATTTTAAAGGCATATTAAGATATTCAAGCAGACAAATATACTGGCAGATGTTTGACAGATTTCACCCTTAACCCTCATGGTGTTAAATGTAAGCAAGGTAACATTTATGAAGGGATTCAGGGAAACTAGCAGGCTGGACTCCAGTCCTGGAGATTGGAAGTACATTACAGTGTTTGCACTCAGGAGGGATGTTAATGTTGCAGTTTTTTTAACTAGTGTAAGCAGACCTCTGGCAAGACAGTGATGGAGTGAATGATGATGGAAGCTTTTCTTTTTTGGGCCACAATACCTTAGTGGGAGGTAGGTAAGACACATAGGCAACAGTTAGGCAACTTTATTCCGAAACGTTTCGCCTACACAGTAGGCTTCTTCAGTCGAGATGACTCAAGAAATCGTAATGACACGATTGCAAACAAACCATACCCCCGGCCGGGATTGAACCCGCGGTCATAGAGTCTCAAAACTCCAGCCCGTCGCGTTAGCCACTAGACCAGCTAGCCACAATAAGATTCATCCAACTAGGTATATTTCTACACCATAGGAAGGTTAGCACAGGCACCACTGTGACCACAAATGCAAGTTTTTACAGACGAATCTCCAGCTAGCGTGGCCGTGATGAACTCTAGCTCAAGTCCCTTCACTGCCGTCAACATGACTCAAGAAATCGTAATGACACGATTGCAAACAAACCATACCCCCGGCCGGGATTGAACCCGCGCTCATAGTCTCAAAACTCCAGCCCGTCGCGTTAGCCACTAGACCAGCTAGCCACAATAAGATTCATCCAACTAGGTATATTTCTACACCATAGGAAGGTTAGCACAGGCACCACTGTGACCACAAATGCAAGTTTTTACAGACGAATCTCCAGCTAGTGTGGCCGTGACGAACTCTAGCTCAAGTCCCTTCACTGCCGTCAACATGACTCAAGAAATCGTAATGACACGATTGCAAACAAACCATACCCCCGGCCGGGATTGAACCCGCGCTCATAGTCTCAAAACTCCAGCCCGTCGCGTTAGCCACTAGACCAGCTAGCCACAATAAGATTCATCCAACTAGGTATATTTCTACACCATAGGAAGGTTAGCACAGGCACCACCGTGACCACAAATGCAAGTTTGTTTGCAATCGTGTCATTACGATTTCTTGAGTCATGTTGACGGCAGTGACGGGACTTGAGCTTGAGTTCGTCACGGCCACGCTAGCTGGAGATTCGTCTGTAAAAACTTGCATTTGTGGTCACAGTGGTGCCTGTGCTAACCTTCCTATGGTGTAGAAATATACCTAGTTGGATGAATCTTATTGTGGCTAGCTGGTCTAGTGGCTAACGCGACGGGCTGGAGTTTTGAGACTCTATGACCGCGGGTTCAATCCCGGCCGGGGGTATGGTTCCTTCAGTCGAATACAGAAAGTAGGCAGGAACAGTAGATATGTGAAGATGATGTAATCAGTCCATCACCCTTGACTATCTGACTATGGAACTGAACTTCTCCAGGCTGAGGGACTGACAACCTCAAATTCTATGACTTCAAGGGTGATGGACTGATTACATCGTCTTCACATCTCTACTGTTCCTGCCTACTTTCTGTATTCGACTGAAGAAGCCTACTGTGTAGGCGAAACGTTTCGGAATAAAGTTGTCTAACTGTTGCCTATGTGTCTTACCTACCAACCTGTCGGTATTGTATACCATTTTGATGTTCACCTTAGTGGGAGACAGCCAGTATGTTAAAAAAAAAAGACAAACATCGTGAGTTAAAAATATCGTGAGTCGAATATGAGTATATGCTAAACAACTAACTACTGTCAATGAATAAGTAAATAAATTCTGTAACTAAATACTTTATTGAAAGTAAATAAGTGAGCAAGTTACAAACTTGCTCACTTTGTGCTGGGTAACTGTCTTGTGCTTCATCTCCAAAGTAATTAATTGCTTTTGCACCATCATAAAGCCCAATTATCGTAAGTCAAACCAACATGAGTCAAGGAACACCTGTATGTTAAAGTTGTTCAACGTTATTGGCTGCAATGAAGATTTTATACACTTATTTCAGGAAAGAAGAAAAAGAAGAAGAAAAAGGTGAAGAAATTTGAAGAATCAGAATACACAACCTATGAAAACCTACAACCTGAAGCTGCGGAGTGTAAGTAGATTTTATTTAGAAACGACAAAAAATATTGTATGTGAATTTTGAAGCAAGTCTATATCATGAGGCCTCACTAGTGAGGTATAGAGCTGTAAAATAACTTGGACTAATGTTACTAATACAGTGGACCCTCGACTAACGCTATTAATCCGTTCCTGAGAGCTCATCGTTAGTCAAAATTATCGTTAGTCAAGTTAATTTTCCCCATAAGAAATAATGGAAATCAAATTAATCCATGTAGGATACCCCAAAGTATGAAAAAAAATTGTTTTTACCACATGAAATATTAATTTTAATACACACAAACTGAAGAAGACATGCACAGTTACATGACACTTACCTTTATTGAAGATCAGGTGATGATTGTTGGGATGGGAGGAGGGGAGAGTGTTGATGGTCTTAGTGTTTAGAAGGGGAATCCCCTTCCATTAGGACTTGAGGTGGCAAGTCCTTTTCCGGGGTTACTTCCCTTCCCTTTAAATCTCTCAAACCAACCTTTGCTGGCCTTAAATTCACTCACATCACCACTAGTTGCTGGCATTTTTTTAATTAAATCGTCATGCAACTTCCTAGCCTTTTCACATATGATTGCTTGAGAGATGCTATCTCCTGCTATCTGTTTTTCGTTTATCCACACCAATAACAGTCTCTCAACATCTTCGAGTACTTGCGATCTCAGTTTCGAAAGCATAGTTGCACCTTTGGCAAGAACAGCTTCCTTGATTGCCGTTTTCTTGCCCACAATAGTAGCGATGGTTGATTGGGGTTTTGTGTACAACCTGGCCAGCTCGGAGACACGTACTCCACTTTCATACTTAGCAATGATCTCTTTCTTCATATCCATAGTAATTCTCACCCTTTTTGCTGTAGGGTTGGCACTAGAAGCTTTCTTGGGGCCCATGGTGACTTATTTTGCAGGTGCAATCACTAAAAAGGCTGTGATAATATGAAATGTTCCGATTGTATGCTTGGAAGTGACCGCGGTGGCTTGCTGGCTTGTAAACACTGGCCAGAAGTGGACGCGTCTCAGACAGAACGAATAGTGTTGATCGAGTTTTTTAGGGCTAGTTGAGGCAAAATTTTTGCGTTAAAATGTATCGCTAGTTGGATTTATCGTTAATCGATGCGATCGTTGTCGAGGGTCCACTGTACTTCTTGAGATAAATCAAAGTAATCTGTTAGCCTAAAGTTGGATAAATTTAGATTTAGAAAGGACATAGGTAAGTACTGGTTCTCTAACAGTTGTGGATGCGTGGAACAATCTTCCCAGTAGGGTGATGCAGGCTAGGCCCTTGGGTAGCTTTAACCCTTAACCCCTTGACTGTCGCAACCCCCAATCCTGAGGTGTCTCCTGGTGTCGCAAAATTTAAAAAAAAAAAATTGTTTTATGAAATGATAGAGAATCTTTTCCCGATTGTAATGACACCAAAAAAAAACGAAATTTGATGGAAAACTGGCGGAATTATGCTCTCGCGACATTAGCGACCTCGGCGCTGTTTACAAATTGTCGATTTCCCCCACTTTGAGCCCTATTTTCGGCTAATTCCGTTGTTCCAGTCGCCCAAACTCATAGCTATTTCTTTAGAACTCCATTTTTTCTATTGATTGAGTACAAGAAACTGCCCATTTACCAATTTCAACTACCTAATAATGTGGTCAGAAATTTGCAATTTAGCCAATTTCACGAAAACTAAAAAATATGACAATTTCAAAATAAGGTCCAGAATGAACAATGCAGACATTCCTGGCTCGAAAATAACATTTTCTTTGTTCATCAGTCATATCTCCAGGCCCCTCTGATATTACTCTTGCTTTCTATTTTGAATTTTTATTCAAACAAAAAATAGAAGACTTACTATTATGCAGACTACTGCAATACTGTAATAATTGTAGAAATAACATCAACCCATTCATGACTGCATATTAGAATGGCTAGTTGGACATTTATTGGACAATGACATTATTTGTTTACTTTTGAACATTGGCAAAAATCAAACATTTCCCCTACTTTGAGCCCCATTTCTAGGTTCTTTTTATAGTAAAATCAATCAAAATCACCTCTATTTCTATGATATGTTTTCCATTCTATCAAATGAGACCAAGAAAACGAGAATACAACCATAAATACTATACGAAAATAGACCACAAAGTCGGCATTTTAATTAAAAAAAACGGTCAGAGTTTTTTTTTTCTCATTATGCACTGCGTGCTCCAGGATTTTTTTATATGGTGCACACAGACCCATTTCTCACATGTGGGCCTACCAGCTTTCTCCTGCTTGATTTGAAGCCGCTAGAATTTGAGTATATACACGTCAAACACGTTGCCTCGTAAGACGTATATATACGGCCGCGACAGTCAAAGGGTTAAACGGTCGAAACAGATAGACGTTCAAATTCGTAGTGCTACAAAAGTAGATCTTTTTTTTTTTACATTCAAATATAACAAAAAAATGTAGATTAAAACTTTTTTTACACTTTTTCAAATGTAAAACAAAAAAATCTACATTTTTTACACTTTCAGATGTTGAAAAAACGTATATATATGTTTCGACCGTTTAAGGGTTAAAAAGAGATTGGACAAATATGAGTGAGAGGGGCTGGGTTTGACTGGTGTCATTGGGTACGGGAGTTAATTCTTGGGTAGCTTTGGGTAGAGGACGTTTTGATAAGGACCTGCCTTGCATGGGCCAGTAGGCCTTCTGCAGTGTTCCTCCATTCTTATGTTATGTTTTCATATGGTACTGTTAAATATAAAGGTTTGATCAAAAAACCATCATACTGGTTTATAGATGGTTTGCATTGCCAATTAGTCTGCTGTAAAAATTTTAATTACAGTGGACCCCCGGTTAACGATTTTAATCCGTGCAAGAGGGGTAATTGTTATTGCGAAATAATCCTATGTGAATTAATTTCCCCATAAAAATAATTGAATCAACATTAATCCGTGCAAGACACCCTAAAAGGTTGAAAAAAAAGTAAAATAATTGAAATATAATCTTCCCACACAAAGAGTAAGGATACATGCACATAGTAAAGATTTGAACATGCACGTTTATTGTGAATGGTACTAGTTCTACTAAATGAAGAATAAATGACACTTCCTTATTGAAGATGCAAGCAATTACTGCCTGAGCACATGTTTCTGGGACTGCCTTTTGCTCTCTGCATACTGTAGGTCCTGTTTTGGCATTTCTTTCGAACAGCCTATCACATGTTATACCATACGATTCTTAAATTCCTCAAACAACTCGCTGCTTTAAATTACCATATGACACTAGTTCCAGGCAATTTTTCCCTGTTCACCTGGGTGTTAGTCGACTTGTGTGGGTTGCATCCTGGAGACAGATTAAGGACCCCAATGGAAATAAGTTAGCGTCTTCGATGACACTGACTTTTTTGGTTATCTGGGTGGCAATCCTCTGGGGTTAATTGTTTCTTGGTATTCTCAATAAGCCACACCAACAACGGTGCTACAGCAGCAGCAGCAGCTGACAGTGCAGCAGCAGCCAGCAGCTGTACCACCAATAGTAGCGATGGTTGATTGGGGTTTTTATACAACTGGCCAGCTCGGAGACATGCACTCCCTTTCATACTTATCAATGATCTTTTTCTTCATCTCTATTGTAATTCTCACCCTTATTGCTGTAGGGTTGGCACTAGAAGCTTTCTTGGGCCCATGGTCACTTATTTTCCAGAAAAAGCACGAAAAACACTGTAATAATACGAAATATTCCGATTGTATGCTTGGATGTTACCGCGGAGGCTGGCTGGTAAACAATGCCACCGGCGGAACATGTGAGCGTGGCTTCAAAGGCCGCACATTGGACGCGTCTCGGACGAAAATCGGTAAGCGGGTTTTTAAGCGGTATGTGAGGCAAAATTTTTGCAATTAAAGTAAGCGGTATGCGAAATAATCGCTATGTGATGCCATCGTTATGCGGGGGTCCACTGTAGTTCCTAAATGCCCACTTTGTAAGTGCAGATCACTTAAAGAGGGTAGTGTCTTGATACCAGTGAAACACTGTTGATTCAAGAAATTAAGATACCCTCCCTTTCTTTGAATCTAATGTCTCCCATCACCAAGGTGCTGTGACCCTTAATATGGTGGTCGTGCATAAGAGAAAAGTCGGGCCAAAATGATTCTTTTTTAACCCTTTCAGGGGTCAGCTCTGTGCTCAAACTTGCTCTCATGGTTGGAAAAATTTAAGAAAAAATACTTTCTTGTGAAATGGTGAATTGTTTTCTGAAGATAATAAAAGTGCCAAATTTGATGGAAAATGACAAAATTATGCCTTTTGCAAATTTTGCTGTCAGCGACACTTGCACAGTGGCAGTTTTGCTCACTAGAGTTCATTTTTGGGCCAATTACACTATTCCAGTCTATCAGATTCTTAACTGTTTTGCTAGAATGCCTTCCATTTTATCAACTGTGTAAAAGAAACCACCCATTCAACTATTTAAACTATGCAATAGTCACTTGGCAAATTTCACACAAATTTCAAGAAATGCCAATTTAAAAAAGGGTCGAGAATGAACAGTGCAAACATTCCTAGCACTAAAATAACATTTCCTCTTCATTAGTTAGGTCCCCAGAGGCCTCTCTGATAGTACATGTGAATTCCATATAGAATTTTTATTCACACAAAAAAATAGAAAATTTACTGTTAGATTAATGCATTATTGTAATAACTGTATAAGTAATGTCAGTGCAATCCTAAAAGCATATTAGACTGGACACATGGATACAGTGGACAAGTGATGTCATTTGTGTACTCTGGAACATCAGCAAAAATAGAACATTCTGCTATTTTGAGTTCAATTTCAAGTTTTAGTCCTGAAACTGATCAGAATCATCTGTTTCTGTAATGTCTTCCATTCTATCAAATGAGACCAAGAAACTGGGAATACAACCATAAAAACCACATGAAAATATATTGCAAAGCCGCTGTTTTAAACAAAAAAAATTTTTCCCCATCATGCACTGCTTGCTGCAGGATATTTTTATATGCACACTTATTACATAGACCCATTCTCTCATACCTAGGCCCAAATTTACTACTCGCAGCTTATCTGAATGAGCTGAACTCAGGGCGTAGAACTACGGGACCAAACTGGAATTCAATGCCATAGAACACTGGGACCCACCCTCAAAGGAGTTAAAGATGAAGTTTTTCTGAATAACTCTTAATTTCACAATGCTGTTGAAAATAAATGATAGCAAATTATTTAACAAAGCATCAGTATCATTACCCCCCCATGTTGCATAGCCTTTTCAGGGATTAAATTTATCCAAATAGTTCTTTTTATAATCTCGTAATACTGGTTCTGTTGTGTAGCAATTTTGAGAATTTACTTTAAAGAAGCAATGCACAATTTCTACACTTTCATGCAAATTTTATTTTCAGTATTGCTGAAAAAGAAGAAAAGGAAGCATGAAGAAAACTGGGAGATTACTAACTTAAGCATGGACAGCCAAGATGATGATGAAGCAGAGAACCAGATAATGGAAAGAGCAGTTAAAGAAAAGACGAAGAAAGAGAAGAAACCCAGGTTGGAAAATGAGGTGCAAGAAGAAAATGCTGGATTTATAAAACCTGAAGAATGTAAAGAAAAGATGGTGAGTACTGCCAGTTTATAATACTTGAATATAGATGAAAAAAAAGGTCTCAGCTATAACATTTGTGTAGCCCATTACAGATGGGCCTTGCTTATACAGCAGATTTAGATTTCAGGCTACTGCTGTAAAGTAAAACGGCTTTTTTTCTCTCTCTCTCTCTCTCTCAAATGCATGTAAAAGCCTGATAACATGTTTACACTGAGCAGTAGTTAGGCCTAAAAAATGCATATTCAGTATACACATTACTGTTTTTTTTTTTTACAAGTCAGCAGTCTCCCACCAAGGCAGGGTGTCCCAAAATGAAAATCCCCAAAAAGAAAATACTTTCATCATTAAACACTTTCACCTCGCTCACCCATAATCGGTTTTTGCAGAGGTGCTCAGAATACAACAGTTGAAAGTATATACATACAAAGATGCACAACATATCCCTCCAAACTGCCATATCCCAAACCCCTCCTTTAACCCTTTCAGGGTCCGTCCCGTAGATCTACGGCTTCACGTTGAGTGTCCAAACCATAGATCTACGCCAAAATTCCAGCGCCGTCAAATTTAGCGCGAAAGCGCTCATAGGCCTACATGTGAAAGAACGGGTCTGCATGGTGGGTGTGTGCCATAAACAAAATATCTAGGCGCCCGCATAGCATTGTGGGAACGCCGGCTCAGTTACCCTTGTTCACCATGCCTCGTCGCAAGTCAGCTCTCACTCCCCAGAAAATTGGGACTCTCCTCTTCCTATCTGATAGTTCTGACACTGATGGAAGTGGAAATGAAGACGAATTCTACGGCTTTGATCAGTTAGTGACCGAAAAGAATGACCAGGATATCGATAATAGTGCAGAAAACCCTGACGATCCTCAACCTTCTACCTCTGGTGTGGGCACTCGTGACTCACGGTTGGTTGTGCCTCAACGCAAGAGAAAACTAATATTTTCGCGTGGCCAGGCCTCTGACTTAAGTAATGATGATGATAGTGACGAGGATTGTGATTTTATTGCACTCGACGATCATTCGAGTAGTGATAGTGAGGAATCGTATTCACCAGTGAAGCATCGGTATGTTCGCCGCTGCATGCACTCGGGTAGTGTACCCTATGCTGTGCCCAGGGGACGGAGTACATACCGGAGTACATCCCATGGCCCTACACCAGTTTTAGTTAGTGATAGTGAGGATGATGTGCTACACTTGGCATGGATAGACCACAGGCATCAGTGGATGGTGTTAGTGGTGATGGTAGTGGCACCGCCATGCGTGACTCACCAGCCCAGGGTGGGACCCACGCTGCTGACTCGTCAGTTCAAGGACAAAGCGGAGCGTCAGCCACCAGCCCACCACAACCACCCGCACAACCAGCCTATAATGTCCAGTATCCACCAGCAAACTGTATGTGGGATTGGCAGCAAAATCCCAATTTTGTTCCCAAGCCTCACCACTTTGATGACTCTCAAAGTGGAATTCTACCTACTTGTCCCCTTGGAACCACGGCCAATGAACTGGAATTCTTTGAATTATTCTTTGACCAGCCATTGATGGAAACTATTGTCAGGGAAAGTAATAAGTATTTTGAGTACACCATGGCAAATACGATCATATCACCACAGTCAAGACTACACAGGTGGAAAGAGACGACTGTTGCAGAAATGTATTTGCTTTTTGCAACAAATAATGCTTATGCCTCATGTCTATAAGCATAATATAAAAGCATACTGGTCCACAGATCGGCTAATTTCTACCCCGGTCTTCAGTGAAATCGTACCAGTGAACAGGTTTATCTTACTCTTACGTATGTTGCACTTCTCTGACAAAACCAGGCCTGACAGAAGTGACAGGTTATACAAGATTAGAAATGTTTTCATGTATCTCAAACAAAAGTTCAGCATATACTTTTATCCATTCAAGAATCTTGTAATTGACGAGTCTTTGATTTTGTTCAGAGGTAGACTGTCATTCAAGCAGTATATACTGAGCAAGAGGAAACGCTTTGGTATAAAACTGTTTGTACTCTGTGACTGTGACAGTGGCCTGGTGTTGGATATTGTTGTATACACGGGAAGTAAAACATTGAAAGATACCAAGATGTTGGAAATAAATGGTATAAAATACCGACACAATGGAAATATAAACACAAATGCAGTATAATGTGATCCTTTATTGACTACGTTTCGCCCACACAGTGGGCTTTTTCAAGTCACAAACAGAACTACCTGGGGTGGAAGGAACGCGAGTATTTATAGTCCGGTTCAGAATGCTGAGGTCAGGTGAAGAATGTTGAATCTGATGATGTACCGAGTGGGGTTATAGAGTCTAAAAACTTGGGTAGCTTGGAAAGGAGATTGGACAAGTTTGTGAGCAGACCTTCTACAGTGTTCTTATGTGGGGATAGCGACGAAGAAGTTTCTTGGCAAGTGGTTCAGCTAGTTATAGAAGCCACTATTCTGCGTTGAAGTTGTCGGATATAGAAAATAGTGATGATTCAGGATTCTTCGGTATTGAGTGTTGTCTTCTGTGGCGATAAGTCTTGAGTTTCTGTAGTTTATCAAGTGGTTGTGTGAATTACGGTGTTGTACGCAGGCATTCCTTGTGTCGTCAGACCTGCTTGCGTATTGGTGTTCTGAAATACGTGTTTGGAGGTCCCTTGATGTTTCGCTCACGTATAACTTGTTGCAGTCATTACAAGGGATTATGTATACCCCTGCAGAGGATGGAGGCTTGTCCTGTCTACTACTGGTGATGTCCTTGATGGTCGTGGTTGTGGAGGTAGATACATGTACTTGGAATGATGTTTTGGCAAAGATGTTGGAAACATGTTTGGCAACGGAGTTGGTGGGAAGGACTATGTATCTCTTCTCGGCAGTGTCTTCTCTGGGTGTGTTGAAGATGTTTAATGCCCGCCGTCTGCAGTCTCTGATGAAGTGACGAGGATAGTGGAGTTTAGAAAATATTTGTTCAATTATAGTGCATTCTTCCTCAAGGAACTCGTTGCTGCAGTTGTGACCTGAAAAAGCCCACTGTGTGGGCGAAACGTAGTCAATAAAGGATCACATTATACTGCATTTGTGTTTATATTTCCATACCAAGATGTTATTGGGTATCTCAGGTGACGTAGTGAGAAACATGATGGCACCTTATCTTGGTAAGGGCATACATTATATACCGATAACTGGTACCCAAGCCCATTACTCAGTGATTTCATGCGAGTGAACAAGACAGATGTGTGTGGCACAGTGTGTTCTAATCGTAAACATATGCCCAGGCTGAACGCAGGTGCTCGTGGTGATGACGTGCAGGTGTTTACTGCCAATGACATCATTGCATTACGGTGGCATGACAAACGAGATGTCACATTGTTGACAACCATTCACCGTAATGAAATGCGAGACAGTGGCAAAGTTGATCGAGTGACTAATGAACGTATTTGAAAACCAGTGACAGTGATTGATTATACACAAAACATGCGCTTGGTTGACAAATGTGACATGCAGATTGGTTTTGTTGACTGTGTTCGTAAGAGTTACAAGTGGTACATGAAACTTTTCTTCCATCTCATGGACATTTCAATGCTCAATGCATATAATATGTACCAAGACTGACAACAGACCACCGTATGGTGAATTTTGTTTGTCTGTTGTCAGACAACTCATAATGAAGTACCAGGTAAGAACACCTGCTATACAACAAGGTCCTCGAATTACTCAGGATATACCCAAGCGTTTGAGGAGGGAAGGTGATCATTTCATAATACAGCTTCCTTCAACTCAGAAGAAATTTGCTCAGAAGAGATGCATTGTCTGTGCACAAACAAAACGGCAGCAACAAAGACGCAAAGACACTGTTTATGTGTGAGGAATGTAAGGTGCCTCTGTGCATGGTGTCTTGTTTCAAGGAGTTCCACAAGCTCCAGCAGTTCTAAAACCATGTCCAGTGATTGTAAATATGTAAATATATGATAGAACATTAGTATTATACAAGATTTGTGCATGTTTATTGTAATAAACAATAATATGATAATAACTTTAGTGCAGTTATTGTGTTCAATACAGTGAGTTTATATATATACATTATATACAGTATTGGTCTCTCAGGCCCCAAATGTTAGTAGGAATAGAAAAAAATTGGAAAAGAAAAGAAAAAAACCACTAAATAATGTAATGTGCGTATGTGGAATTCGTCGATGTTGCCGCCACCACATCATTTTTGACAAACTTCTTGGCACTGTATTTCTGTAAGTACTTATCAGAATTTTTTTTTTGTCTTATTACCTTCACAAAAATATGATCTTTAATTCTGTAAGTTTTTTTTTTTTTTTTTTTCAAATTTCTTGGACACTGGAGCACCACTTCAGATTTTGGCCTTGGACCCTGAAGGGGTTAAAGTGTAGACATCGTACTTCCCATTTCAAGGACTCGAGTCCGGCTATATAAAATAACCGGTTTCCCTGAATCCCTTCACTAAATATTACCCTGCTCACACTCCAACAGCTCGTCAGGTCCCAAATACCATTCGTCTCCAATCACTCCTATCTAACACGCTCACGCACGCTTGCTGGAAGTCCAAGCCCCTCGCCCACAAAACCTTCTTTACCCCCTCCCTCCAACCTTTGAGGACAACCCCTACCCCACCTTCCTTTCCCTACAGATTTATACACTCTCCAAGTTATTCTACTTTCATCCATTCTCTAAATGACCAAACCACCTCAACAACCCCTCTTCAGCCCTCTGACTAATACTTTTATTAACTCCACACCTTCTCCTAATTTCCACACTTTGAATTTTCTGCATAATATTTGCACCACACATTGCCCTTAGACAGGACATCTCCACTGCCTCCTCACTGCAGCATTTACAACCCAAGCTTCACACCCATATAAGAGTTGTACAAGAATGGTATACAATACTGACAAGATGAAATTAAGACACTTGCAACATCTGGGTATCTTTATTGTAGACGTTTCGCCATCCAGCGGCTTTATCAAAATCCAGGACACCACTTGAAGATAGTAGGACTCTATACAGAAGATGAGGTAATCAGTCCCTCAACCTTGGAGTAGGTGCGAAGAGCACCGTAGTCATGGAGATTCTGAAGCAGAAGCAAGGACCCTGGCACTTGTATGCTAACGTCAGGTGGAAATGGGACATGTAGCAGATGAGGGCTTAGTCACTGGTAGGCAGGATTCCCCAGTGGAAGTAGGTCCTACCCAAAGAGATGGGTTAGTTGTGATAGTTGTCAGTCATGAAGGTTATGTACATGTCCTCAGAATCAAGATTCCATGATGCTGCAGTGTGACAAGTTGTACAAGAATGATATACAATACTGACAAGATGAAATTAAGAGATGTGCCACATCTGGGTATCTTTATTGAAGATGTTTCGCCATCCAGTGGCTTTATCAATTCAAATTCCAGGACATAACTAGAAGACAGTAGGACTATATACAGAAGATGAGGTAATCAGTCCCTTGACCTTAACCTTGACGTTAATATATAAGCACCAGGCTCCTTGCTTCTGCTTCAGAATCTCCACGACTACGGTGCTCTTCGCACCTACTCCAAGGTTGAGGGACTGATTACCTCATCATCTGTATATAGTCCTATTGTCTTCTAGTTATGTCCTGGAATTTGTATTGATAAAGCCACTGGATGGCGAAATGTCTACAATAAAGATACCCAGATGTTGCAAGTGTCTTAATTTCACCATATAAGAGTGTTGGTACCACTATACTTTCATACATTCCCTTCTTTGCCTCCGTAACATTGTCTCCACATACACCTCAATGCACCACTCGCCTTTTTTCATTCATAAATTCTATGATTAACCTCATCCCTCATAAATCCATCCGCTGACACGTCAACTCCCAAATATTTGAAAACATTCACTTCTTCCATACTCCTCCCCAGTTTGATATCCAATTTTTCTTTAAATCATTTATTACCCTCATCACCCTACTCTTTTCTAAGTTCACTTTCAACTTTATACCTTTACACACACACACCCAAATTTCTTCCACTAACCTTTGCAATTTTTCTTTAGAATCCCCCATAAGCACAGTACCATCAGCAAAGTAACTGTCACTTCCCATTTTGTATTTGATTCCCCATAATTTAATTCCACCCCTCTCCCAAACACCCTATCACTTACTTTTACAACCCCATCTATAAATATATTAAACCATGGTAACATTACACATCCCTGTCTAACACCTAAGACCTCTCTTCTACACACCCTAACCTGAGCCTCACTATCCTCATAAAAACTTTACAGAATTTAGTAACTTACCATCTATTCCATACACTTGCAACATCTGCCACATTGCTCCCCTATCCACTCTTATCATATGCCTTTTCTAAATCCATAAATGCAATCAAAACTTCCCTACCTTTATCTACTGTTCACATATATGCTTCAATGTAAACACTTGATCTACACATCCCCTACCCACTCTAAAACCTTGCTCATCCGCAATTCTACATTCTGTCTTGCCTCTAATTCTTTCAATAATAACCCTACCGTACACTTTTCCTGGTATATTCAGTAAACTTATTCCTCTATAATTTTGACAATCTCTTTTGTCCCCCTCCCTTTATATAAAGGGACTACACATGCTCTCTGCCAATCCCTAGGTACCTTCCCCTCTTTCAACAATACCAACCACTCCAACACAATATTCCCCTCCCCCTCCCCTGCTTTTAACATTTGTCATGATCCTGTCAGTTCCAGCTGCTTTACCCCCCTTCATTCTATGTAATGCCTCATGCACCTCCCCCACACTCACATCCTACTCTTCACTCCTAAATGATGGTATACCTCCTTCCCTGGCCAGTGCATGAAATTACTGCCTCCCTTTCTTCGTAGATATTTAAAAGTTCCTCAAAATATTCTCACCATCTACCCAATACCTCCATCTCCCCATCTACTAACTCCCCTACTGTTTTTAACTGACAAATCCATTCGTTCCCTAGGCTTTCTTAACTTGTTTAACTCGCCCCCAAAATTTTTCTTATTCTCATTAAAATTTGAGTGTCTCCCACTCTATCATCCGCTCTCCTTTTGCACTCGCCACAGCAACCACCCAGGGAGGTACTACTGTCCTGCCAAGTGAGTGTAAAACAAAAGCCTGTAATTGTTTTAAATGATGGTAGGATTGCTGGTGTCTTTAGTCTGTCTCCTAAATATGCAAGATTACAGGTACGTCTTGCTACTTCTACTTACACTTAAGTCACACTACACATACATGTACACGTTTATTTATACACATCCGAGGTTTCTTTGATTTTATCTTAATAGTTCTTGTTCTTATTACTTTTATATCCATGGGGAAGTGGAATAAGAATATTTCCTCCGTAAGCCATGCGTGTTGTAAAAGTCGACTAAAATGCCGGGAACAATGGGCTAGTAGCCCCTTTTCCTGTAATTACTAAAAAGAATAAGAAACACATTACTTGCCTTGAAATATTTTCGTCCTCAGTTTATCTTGTGAGTGGCGAATATATTTATTATAGGAATAACAAAAAAGGCACAATACCGTGACTGGAACGATACACAAATAACCCGCACATAAAAGAGAGAAGCTTACGACGACGTTTCGGTCCGACTTGGACCATTGACAAAGTCACACTGTGACTTTGTCAATGGTCCAAGTCGGACCGAAACGTCGTCGTAAGCTTTTCTCTTTTATGTGCGGGTTATTTATTATAGGAAGTCTGAATAAATAAAATGGGTATAATTAAAAACTGCTGCATTGGCAAAACATTGTAAAATGAAGTGCTGTAAAGTGGGACCCTCCTGTACACTGTAAATAATGAATTTTTAACATTTTGGTATAAAATAAGAAATGTGGGATGGATGGTGTGGTGCTAGTGAAGGTTCATGATACAGAATTGTTTACCTTCTTTCTTTTCATAATTACTGATACTGTCGGAATGTTTGGCAGTGAATACATACACAACTAATGAGACATTTTATTGTGGATGTTTTGTTCTGCGTGAGTTTTGTCAGGCTAATAGGCTTGATAATGCTCCTGGAGAGTGGAATGTAGCCATCATAAAATGTTTAAAGTATGCATGTCTTTAACCTATCACAATATGGGTAATTTTCTAACATTATTATAACTGGCTAGAATGAGATTCAGTAGGACTGACAATATAACAAACTAAATGCTGAAGGTAGGCCACACAGAGCATAGCTTGGTTTTAATACTCTTTCATGGGAGGTCCCTTGCTCTTGATTCAAGAAATTGGAGCCACACTTTCCTTACATTACACCTGGTTGCTTCCTAGGCACTGTAATGATCCCAGCAGGTAGTTTAGTGCTTCCCCAAGAATATAATGATCTGTTTTTTAAGTGGTTAATGGGCAATTACTTACACAGTATTTGTTTTACAGAAGCAATCTGAAGTTTCTCTGCCCCAGACCCCAGTCACAACTCATGTCACAACTCCAAAAAAGCGTCCACTTGACAAAGAAAGTACATCAAAAAAGAAGAAACGCAGAAGTCTTGATTTATCAAACGAGGAAATGAACATAGGGCCTGACGAGGATGCTGGGAAGGATGAGATTTTAGGTATGTTCATAAAGAAATCTTAAAAATGCAGACCTGTGCAGTAATGTGGAGTAAATAAAGATTGGATGTGAAAAGTGGGTTATAATAAGCGTGTATGCACCTGGAGAAGAGAGAAGTGTAGAGGAGAGAGAGATTTTGGGAAATGTTGAGTGAATGCGTGGGGAGTTTTGAATCAAGTGTGAGAGTAATGGTGGTTGGGGATTTCAATGCTAAAGTGGGTAAAAATGTTATGGAGGGAGTAGTAGGTAAATTTGGGGTGCCAGGAGTAAATGTAAATGGGGAGCCTTTAATTGAGCTATGTGTAGAAAGAGATTTGGTAATAAGTAATACATATTTTATGAAAAAGAGGATAAATAAATATACAAGGTATGATGTAGCACGTAATGAAAGTAGTTTATTAGATTATGTATTGGTGGATAAAAGGTTGATGGGTAGGCTCCAGGATGTACATGTTTACAGAGGGTCGACTGATATATCGGGTCATTATTTAGTTGTAGCTACAGTTAGAGTAAGAGGTAGATGGGAAAAGAGGAAGGTGGCGACAACAAGTAAGAGGGAGGTGAAAGTGTATAAACTAAGGGAAGAGGAAGTTCGGGTGAGATATAAGCGACTATTGGCAGAAAAGTGGGCTAGTGCAAAGATGAGTAGTGGGGGGGTTGAAGAGGGTTGGAATAGTTTTAAAAATGCAGTATTAGAATGTGGGGCAGAAGTTTGTCGTTATAGGAGGGTGGGGGCAGGAGAAAAGAGGAGTGATTGGTGGAATGATGAAGTAAAGGGTGTGATAAAAGAGAAAAAGGTAGCTTATGAGAGGTTTTTACAAAGCAGAAGTGTTATAAGAAGAGCAGAGTATATGGAGAGTAAAAGAAAGGTAAAGAGAGTGGTGAGAGAGTGCAAAAGGAGAGCAGATGATAGAGTGGGAGAGGCACTGTCAAGATGTACCTGTTTTTTGCCACAATAATGCTTATGCCACATGTGTATAAGCACACTGTCACCACATACCGGACAACAGATCGCCTGATTTCAACTCCAGGTTTTAGTGACATTATAGGTGTCAATCGTTTCCTGATACTGTTACGTATGTTACACTTTTCAGACAAAACCAGGCCTGACAGAAGCGACAGGTTATATAAGATAAGAAATGTGTTTATGTACCTGAAACAAAAGTGCTGCGTGTATTTTTATCCCTTCAGGAAGCTTGTTATTGATGAGTCCTTGATTTTATTCAAAGGAAGACTCTCATTCAAGCAATATATACCAAGCAAGAGGAAACGCTTTGGTATAAAGCTATTTGTACTGTGTGATTGCAGAAGTGGTCTTGTTTTAGATATTATTGTGTACACTGGCAGTAATACTTTGAGAGATACCATGAAGTTATTGGGTATCTTGGTGAGTGGTTCGAACATGATGGAACCATATCTTGGTAAGGGGCATATGTTATTTACTGAAAACTGGTACACAAGCCCCTTACTCAGTGATTTCTTGCGAGTGAACTTGACAGACGTGTGTGGCACAGTGCGTGGTAATCGCAAACATATGCCAAGGTTCGACGCTGGCACTCACAGAGGTGAGGTGCAAGCCTTTGCTGCCAATGACATCATGGCATTTCGGTGGCATGACAAACTTTGATGTCACATTGTTGACATCAGTTCACAGAAACGAAATGGTACCCAGTGGCAGGGACAACAAAAGGAGACCAATGAACCCATTCTAAAGCCTGCAGCTGTCATGGACTACAACCTCAATATGCGCTTAGTGGACAAATGTGACATGCAGATTGGGTTTGCAGACTGTGTATGCAAGAGTTATAAGTGGTATATCAAACTTTTTTCCATCTTGTTGATATCTCTATGCTAAATGCTTATAACATATACAAGTTGAAGACCAACAAAACACCAAAATATGGTGAATTTTGCCTGTCAGTAATCAGACAAATAATTGCAAAGTACCAAGGAGCAACTCCTGCAATAGACCAGCGCCCACAGACGTCATCTCGTATGAGGCCTGGTGATCACTACCCCATACAACTGCCTCCTACTACTGCCAAGAAAAATGCTCAGAAGAGGTGTTATGTATGTATGCATACCACAAAACGCCCACAAACACGCAGAGACACTGTTTTATGTGTGAGGAGTGTGAAGTGCCCCTCTGCATATACCATGTTTCAAAGAGTTCCACAAGCTGCAGCAGTTCTAGGAACGTGGTTAGTGACTGTACATATGTATATATATTATGGAACAATAGTAATAAACATTGTTTTGTATTGTTTGTTTGTGTAAACAAAGTGTATACACAAACTAATAGTGATAAAGTTTGTTCTGTTATTGTGTTGTAAATAATGAGTGTATATTTGAACAATGCACCTTACATTGGTCTCACAGGCCACAAAAGTTACCTGGAAAAGAAAAATATTGAAAAATGCAAGAAACCTTTGAATTAGAGTAAATAAAAGAATACCGGGTGGGTGGCAGTCGCCGCTGTTGCCGTACGCACGTCAATTTCTGCAAACTTTGCGGCTCTATATCTCGGTAAGTACTGATGGCAAAAATTTTTTTTTAGGCTTAAAACACTAGTAAAAATATTCCTAACATTTTCATAAGAGAAAATAATTTTTTTTTTTTCGAATATTTGGCGACATAGAATGACAGTTTCAGAGAGGGCCCTGAAACAGTCAAAGGGTTAATCCGTGCAAGAGAGCTCATTGTTATGCGAAATTATCGTTATGCGAATGAATTTTCCCCATAAGAAATAATGGAAATCAAATTAATCCGTGCAAGACACCCCAAAGTATGAAAAAAAAACATTTTTACCACATGAAATATTAATTTTAATACACACAAACTGAAAAAGGCATGCACAATTACATGACACTTACTTTTATTGAAGATCTGGTGATGATTGATGGGATGGGAGGAGGAGAGTGTGTTAGTGTTTAGAAGGGGAATCCCCTTCCATTAAAACTTGAGCTGTCAAGTCCTTTTCTGGGGTTACTTCCCTTCTTTTAATGCCACTTGGACCAGCTTCAGAGTCACTGGAGTTCTGTCGCACAACATATCTGTCCGTAGTGGCCTGTACCTCTCGTTCCTTTATGACTTCCCTAAAGTGTTTCACAACATTGTTAGTGTAATAGTCACCAGCACGGCTTGCAATAGCTGTGTGAGGGTGATTTTCATCCATAAAGGTTTGCACTTTCAGCCACATTGCACAGATTTCCTTAATCTTTGTAGTAGGCAATTTTTTCAATTTCTCTCTCCCCTCCTTCGAACCAGTTTCCTCAGGTCTGGCCTCTTGCTGTTGAAGTTGATCTATCAGCTCATCAGTGGTTAGTTCTTCATTGTCCTCCACCACCAACTCCCCACTAACCTCCAACCCCAAGGACTTTCCCAATGCCATAATGGATTCCTCAACTGGCATAGGATTCTCAGGGTTAGCCTCAAACCCTTCAAAATCCCTTTTGTCTACACATTCTGGCCACAGTTTTTCCAAGCAGAGTTCAAGGTCCTCTTAGTCACTCCCTCCCAAGCCTTACCTATAAGGTTTACACAATTGAGGATATTAAAGTGATCTCTCCAAAAGTCTTAGAATCAGTTGAGTTTCTGAGGTCACTACAAAGCACCTTTCAAACAGAGCTTTTGTGTACAGTTTTTTGAAGTTTGCAATAACCTGCTGGTCCATGGGCTGCAGGAGAGGAGTGGTATTAGGAGGCAAAAACTTCACCTTAATGAATTTCATGTCCCCATAAAGTCGCTCTGCCACGTCTGTAGGATGACCAGGGGCATTGTCTAACATCAGGAGGCACTTAAGTTCTAATTTCTTTTCAGTTAGGTAATCTTTCACATTGGGGGCAAATGCATGGTGTAACCAGTCATAGAAAAAGTCCCTAGTGACCCCTTGCCTTACTGTTTGCCCTCCACAGCACACACAAATTAGCCTTGAGGACATTCTTTTGCCTGAACGGTCTGGGAGTTTCAGAGTGATACACTAATAAAGGCTTCACTTTGCATTCACCAGTAGCATTGGAACACATCAACAGAGTAAGCCTGTCTTTCATAGGCTTATGTCCTGGGAGTGCCTTTTCCTCCTGAGTAATGTAGGTCCTGCTTGGCATTTTCTTCCAAAACAGGCCTGTTTCATCACAATTAAACACTTGTTCAGGTTTCAGTCCTTCAGTTTCTATGTACTCCTTGAATTCCTGCACATATTTTTCAGCTGCTTTGTGGTCCGAACTGGCAGCCTCACCATGCCTTATCACACTATGTATGCCACTACGCTTCTTAAATCTCTCAAACCAACCTTTGCTGGCCTTAAATTCACTCACATCATCACTAGTTGCAGGCATTTTTTTAATTAAATCCTCATGCAACTTCCTAGCCTTTTCACTTATGATCACTTGAGAGATGCTATCTCGTGCTATCTGTTTTTCATGTATCCACACCAATAAGAGTCTCTCAACATCTTCCATCACTTGCGATCTCTGTTTCGAAAACACAGTTAAACCTTTGGCAAGAACAGCTTCCTTGATTGCCTTTTTGTTGCCCACAATAGTAGCGATGGTTGATTGGGGTTTACTATACAACCTGGCCAGCTCGGAGACACGCACTCCACTTTCATACTTATCAATGATCTCTTTCTTCATCTCTATAGTAATTCTCACCCTTATTCCTGTAGGGCTGGCACTAGAAGCTTTCTTGGGGCCCATGGTCACTTATTTTGCAGATAAAATCACCAGAAACACTGTAATAATACGAAATGTTCCGATTGTATGCTTGGATGTTACCGCGGAGGCTAGCTGGTAAACAATGTCACTGGCGGAACATGTGAGGCTGGCTAAGGGTGCACATTAGACGCGTTTCGGACGAACAGCGTTGAGCGGGTTTTTTAGCGGTACGCGAGGCAAAATCTTAGCGATAAAATGTAGCGGTATGCGGATTTAACGTTATGTAAGGCCAACGGTATGCGGGGGTCCACTGTATATATATATATATATATGCGCGCCTCGGTGGGAAACGGCAGACTTGTTGGTGGGGGGGGGGGGAATTTAACATGTCGGCAGTGTCCCATCAAGGCAGGGAGACCCAAAACAATTTGTGTAAGCTAAGAATTATCCTCAACTCACATTGAAGCCTTAACTACTGTGTACCACTTCCAAGGATAACCAACAAATCAACAAACACTCAGTTACTGTATATTTACTGCTAGGTGAACTAAGGCAGATGATATAGTGAAACTTACCCACGTCTTGCCCAGCCAGGAAATTGAATAGTGGTACTTATCACTTGTGATGCAAACCCTAAAATTAGTATTCTCATTGTTAGTTCCTAGGTATCTTTATTTTTCCTAGTACAGTGCAGAACTTCTAAACACTAGGGACCATCTTATTCTAATTTTTTTGATATGTAGTCATTCGGCATTTAATTCCACAAAATAAATATCTTCAGTGTGACTTGCAAATTGTACTGTTTACATATATGTATATTGTGAAAGAGGAATTACCATTAGGAATGGAATCTTGTAATAGGAAATTTGCACAGAACCAACCCAGGTAAAGTGAGAGAAACCTGTAGAGTATTGATGCACTAAAAGTAAATATTTTTTTCTGTACCACAGTGCATTATTCATTTCACTTCTGTACAAGAAGAGACTACATGTTATCAGCATCACAAGGTGTTCATTGGTAACCTAAATATTTTTCCAAGCTAAGAATTGTATTAAGCCATTATAATTATGTGGAGTTCAAAGCCTGAGAATGTCATTCGCACAGTCGTAGATCCTTGAGCCTGTTTGCTCAATAAGAGGCAGATAAACTACCTAGTAATGTGCAATGATAAGTCAAGAGCTCTTGATTGAAAGAATTAGAGCATCCCTCCCCTTCCATGGATCAAACCCTATCTGTATCTCATTCCCTAGATATTGTTTGACCTCAGAGTTTAGCATTTTCCCATGCATTTATATAATGTAGATGGTCAATAGGTGTAAATGTGTACTTTATTTATTTCAGAGTCTCCAAGTTGGATGAAAGATGACGAGTTACAGCTTCTAAATAACATGAAGGCACAATTACCCCGGAAGGATAAAATGAGTTACCGCACAAGACTCAAAGACTTCAATTGGGAAAATGCAGCATTTGGGAATTTTACAGCTGGTGACTGTAAAAGTCATTTTAAAAAAATTTTAACAGGGATTAAATCGGTGAAGTGAGTGAGATGTTCAACTGAATATTGTAAATACACTAAATTTTTTTTTTTAAGCCTTCATAACATAGCAAATAACCCCACAATTTGGAAAAGAAACTTCACTTGTTTCACTCTGCCCTAGCTGCTGTCCACTACTGGCTGAAATGTTGCTTTAAGATTTCCTTTCCACATAAGGGGTTGTTTGCAGTTGAGTTTACAAACAAACACTGTACTTAGTGCTCTTACTAGGGCACAATACCTATAAACATTGCTTCAATGTTCAATGAGAGCAGTTTTGTATTCATGAAGTCCATGATGAGTGGTACTTTGATACTATTGAAGGGATCTTGATTTCAAAAATTTGGGATACCCTACGTTGAAATTGCTTCCCTCACCCCAGGCATTGTAACCCCTTAAAGGTTTAGTGCTTTCCCATGACTATAATATCCTTTGCTGCTCAGTTCCTGTCAAATGCTTATTTATCTTTTGTTAGGACACTCACCATAGTTTTGGATGAGGTTACAGAAAACCTGCCAAAACTCAACTTTAACAAGAGGAAAATCTTGTTACCTATTCATCGTTTCATGAGAGAGACTTTGGATAGTCATAAGAAGCAATTCACCAATGGGGTAAGTTTTCTCAAGACCAGAGTTCATTATTTCTGTAAACATTTGATTTACAAGGGAGAATTTAAGATCTGTCTGCTTAGTTAACTGACATGGGGAAATGGCTGTCCAATCAACTTTTAAACGTGTATATGGAGTCGGCTACCATTTTATCATTGTCCAAATTATTTTGCTGCTTTATTGTTAGCACTTTTTTTTATTATAGTAATTCTTTATAGTTTGTTTAAAAAATGATAGATGGTGGTGTAACTGACAATTGAAGGTCACTAAGTAAGGAGAGCTCTTATTTTGTTTTGCCCACAGTGTGGCTTCATCAAGTTAAGTAAAACATTAACCTAACACATTTAAGATTGAACCCCTACATTGTCAGAAGCACTGAAATTAGAGCTCAGTGTCGGCATTTTCCAAATTTTTTTTTTTTTTTTTTTTTCTGCAATGGTATATACCTTCGAAGAGTTTAGTGTTTCATTATCGGAGCCCAGCCATGGGTGAGGCTCATCTGGTGCTTGCCTGGTCAACCAGGCTGTTGCTGCTGGAGGCCTGCTGCCCCACTTATCGATCACAACCTGGTTGCTCTGGAGCCTCTAGAATCTTTTCAACATAATGACACCAAAAACACAAAATTTGACGGAAAACTTTTGGAAGTATGCTGGTGAAGAGTTAGCAGTCTGGGTGGAATTTGTATCTTGATTTTTTGCCCACTTTGAGTTCTGTTTTAATCTAGTGTTATTGCTCACTTTGACCCCTTTCTTCCGTTCTATAGACCGAGCACAAGAAGCCACTCATTAAACTATTAGAACCATTCTGTAAAATTGCACAGAAGTCAGTAAATCAGCCAATTTTGCACAAAATTAAAAAAATTCCAATTTAACCCTTTCACTGTGTTGTGTATATATATGTTATTGATGCCAGAGTTGCTTACGTTGGTCTGTGGTTTGAGTTCAGCTCACTTGCATTAGCTTTGAATGGTAAAGTTGAACCTATACATGAGAAAATGAATCTGCAGTGAGTGCACATTGTAAAAAAAATCCTGCCCCATGCAGTGCATGATGGGGGAAAGCCAAACTGAGTCTCATATTTCCAGCATCCCAATAGTATTTGAATCGGACTGGGAAGGTGTAAAGGGGCCTTACCTGTCATCAGGAGAATCGTCAAAAATCTAACATTTCTCCTACTTTGAGCCTGATTTCAAGCTACTTCCTGTCCTGAAACTAACCAAAATCATCTATTTCTGTAGTAATATCTTCCAAGAATTGGGCCAATTAAACCACAAAAACCATCCTATAAAGGTGCTGTTTTAAACTGAACACAAAGTTGAGTTGCTTTGCCCATCATGCACTGCATGGGGCAGGATTTTTATTTTTACAACCTTACTTGTCAGTGGTTCAAGTCTAACTCTGAGTGTCTTGGGAGTGAATGGAGACTAATTGTTTGTGGGACCTGATGCACTGTTGGTGTGTGAGCAGGATAACATTATGTGAAGGGATTAAGGTAAACCGGTTAGCCAGACTTGAATCCTGGAGGTGGGAAGTACAATGCTTGCACTTTAAAGGAGGGGTTTGGGATATTGGCTGTTTGGAATGACATCTAAACTGTCATATCAGAGTGCCTCTGCAATGATAGTGATTGTGTGAATGATGGTGAAAGTATTGAATGTTGGTGAAAGTTTTTTTTTTTTTTTTGTCACCCTGCCTCAGTGGGAAATGACTGAGGCCTAGTCATGGACTGGGCTGTGGGTGTATTGACCCCTGGAAAACCCTCCAGGTATACTCTACCTTGGAATGGACGAGTATTTAAAAAAAAATAATTATTGTAGCTGCTATTTGTATAATAGCTTTCTGATTTATTGCTTACTTATTATTAATTCAAATATTTTTTTATAGGATTGTAGTTTTGTAAATCTGTCTAAAGCTTGGAAAAATTTGCCTGAGGAAGAAAAAGACTTGTATAGAAAGCCATATAAAAAGGAGCTTGCGGAAGAGCGTGCAAGGTTACTTTCGAAATCTTCACGTAGGTAAGTATCATAATCTGTTGACTAAAGTACAGTATAGTAGTGCCAACATTTGTGTGGGTGGTGGGGAAGGGGGTTGAAGCATGATCTTTCAATGTTTCAGAAAGTAGGAGGATAGAGATAGTGAAGATTCCATATATGAAGTCAGTATTTTGTGAAGGGATTCATGGAAACCTGTTAACCGGACTAGAGTCCTGGAGGCGGGACATACAACACCTGCACTCTTAACCCTTTGACTGTTTTGGTCGTATATATACATCTTGCACGCCACTGTTTCGGACATATTAATACACATAAATTCTAGCGGCTTCAAATCGAGAAGGCTGGTAGGCCCACATGTGAGAGAATGGGTCTGTGGTCAGTGTGCAGCACGCAGTGCATAATGAGACTTTTTTTTTTATTAAAACGCCGACTTTGGGGTGTATTTTCGTATGGTATTTATCGTTGTATTCTCACTTTCATGGTCTCGTGTGATAAAATGGAAAACATATTACAGAAATAGAGATGATGATGATTAGTTTTATTATGAAAACGACCTTGAAATTGAGCTCAAAGTAGCGGAAATGTTCAATTTTTACTAATGTTCAGGAGTAAGCAAATCACACCACACGTCCAATACACGTCAACTGGGGAGTCTAATATTCTTTCACTAGTGCACTGATATTATTTATACCATTTTTACAAAAATGCATTAGACTGCATAACAGTAATTTTTTTTTTTGTATGAATAAAAAAATCTAAATATAAAGCAATAGTAATAAAAGAGGGTCCTACAGATGTGACTATGAACAGAGGATATGTTATTTTAGTGCAAGAATGTATACATTGTTTATTCTGGACTACAGTGGACCCCCGCTTAACGATCACCTCCAAATGCGACCAATTATGTAAGTGTATTTATGTAAGTGCATTTGTACGTGTATGTTTGGGGGTCTGAAATGGACTAATCTACTTCACAATATTCCTTATGGGAAAAAATTCGGTCAGTACTGGCACCTGAACATACTACTGGAATGAAAAAAGTTCGTTAACCGGGGGTCCACTGTATTTTGAAATTGGAGTCTTTTTTTTTTTTTTAATTTGCATGAAATTGGCCAAATTGCCAATTTCTGACCACTTTATTGGGTAGTTCAAATCAATAAATGGGCAGTTTCTTGTACTCAACTGATAGAAAAAATGGAGTTCTAAAGAAATAGCTGAGTTTGGTCAACTGGAACAACGGAATTGGCCAAAAACAGGGCTCAGTCGGCGAAATCGCTGATGCGTATATATCTCAGAGACCGCTAACTTTGCAGGAGCATAATTCCGTGAGTTTTCGACCAAATTTTGTACTTTTGGTGTCATTACCACCGGGAAAAGATTCTCTATCATTTCTTAAGAAAAATTTTTTTTTCCAAAAATTTTGCAACAGAATGAGTTTCAGAAAGGGGCTTGCGACAGTCGGAGGATTAAAGAAAGGAGTTTGGGATATTTACTGTTTAATGACATTTAAACTGTCATATCTGCATGCCTCTAGCAAGACAGTGATAATGTGAATGATGGTAAAAGTTTCTTTTTTGGGTCACCCTGCCTCGGTGGGAGAGCCAGCATGTTAGTGTGGCATGAATATTTTCCAGACTATGGAGTCTAAGAATTTAGATAGTTTAGTGGTTTGAAATATAAAGTTTAGAGAGCTATGGAGAAGTTGAAATAGTTTAATCGTTTAGAAAGGTTGGAGAAAGTTAAGTTGATAAAGAATTACTAAATTTAAAGAAAAACTTTTTTGTTTTCCTTTTTAGGTCACCCTGCCTCAGTGCGACATAGCCAGTGTGTTGAAAGAAAAAAAATATTGATCAAGAGGGTATATTAATCTGGCTTTATTAAAGATTGTGTAGAGGACATACTAGCAAAGGTTTCAGGAATAGTATGAAAAAAGTTTTAAGATGTAGGGGTATGATATCTGTGAGCATGTAAGATCAAAGGGAATGGATGGAGACAGAAGCACAAGAGGAACAAGAAACTGTCAAGGATATTGCAAGAAACTACAAATGTTTGCACATACAAAATTCTAGTTAAAAACTACCAGTAGAATTGAACCATTAATCACAGAAGGTTCATCACTGGCAGTGAATAAAATATGAATAAAATTTTTGAGACCAATATGATTGTGTTCATCAATCCAGTAAAACAGTGGAAAATGCAAAAAAATTATAGGTCTCTCAAAGATCTGAAGGCTGCAACCCTATTTTTTTTCCAGAATTCTTTCAGTCTATAAGTCCTGGAAATCATTATTAGCAGTTTTCATAAATGTAACGTGTGTGAATAATGGTCGTCCGCTGTACTGTATGCGTGAAAGCACCTTAATAGAACACATGGAAGAATTTCAAGAAATAATCAGTCATTCACTGGACAGTGGAAAATAACATAACTTTCAGTGGTGTGAAGTTCCAACTGCTTAGATAATAAACATGAATTAAGAAAAGGAGCACTGTTTAAACCACAAGATCACCAATTAGAATGGAAGGAACTTGTGAAAGATCCGGATGTAACGTCAGCCGACCTTTCCTTCAAGAACACAGAAAGGCAAATTTCAAGATAACCAGGAAAATGACACTATATAATGAGGACTGAGAAAAATAAGTGACTTGCAGGGTGTATCAATCTATAGTGGAGGGAAGGTAGGGGTAGGGGTCATCCTATGAAGAAGTTGGAGGTTGAGGATAAAGGAAGGTTTGTATGCAAGGAGCTTGCACATCCACCAGGGCGTGTGTGTGTGTGTGTGTGTTTGGAGTGAGTCGAGGCAAATGGTTTTTGTGATGTTTTGGTGTGTGAGCAAGGTAACATTTATGAAGGAATTTAAAAAAAACCTATTAGCCAGACTTGAATCTAAAGGAGAGGTGGGGATGTTGCAGTTTGGAAGGGGATCTGAACTGTAATGTTGGTGCATCTCTGGCAAGAATGTGATAGCGCTAGTGAAGGCAGGCTGGCTGGCTGGCTGGCTGGCTGGCTGGCTGGCTGGCTGGCTGTCTGTCTGTCTGGCTGTCTCTCTCTGTCTCTGTCTCTCTGTCTCTCTGTCTCTCTCTCTCTCTGTCTCTCTGTCTCTCTGTCTCTCTCTCTCTCTGTCTCTCTCTCTGTCTCTCTCTGTCCTCTCTCTCTCTCTGTCTCTCTCTGTCTCTCTCTCTCCTCCTCTGCTCTCTCCTCTCTTCTCTCTCTCTTCTCCTCTCCTCTCTCTCTCTCTCTGTCTCTCTCTGTCTCTCCTCTGTCTCTGTCTCTCTCTCTGTCTCTGTCTCTCTCTCTGTCTCTCTCTCTCTCTGTCTCTCTCTCTGTCTTTTCTCTCTGTCTCTGTCTCTCTCTCTCTTCTCTCTCTCTCTCTCTCTCTCTCTCTCTCTCTCTCTGTCTCTCTCTCTCTCTGCCCTCTCTCCCCTTCCTCTCTCTTCTCTCTCTCTGTCTCTCTCCTGTCTCTCTGTTTCTCTTTTCTCTCTGTCTCTCTCTCTCTTTTCCTCTCTCTCTCTCTCTGTCTCTCTCTCTCTCTGTCTGTCTGTCTCTCTCTGTCCTCCTCTCTCTCTGTCTGCCCTGTCTCTCTCTGTCCTCTCTCTCTCTCTGTCTCTCTCTGTCTCTCTTTTCTGTCCTCTCTCTGTCTCTCTGTCTCTCTCTCTCTGTCTCTCTCTCTGTCTCTCTCTCTCTGCCCTCTCTCTCTGCTCTCTCTCTCTGTCTCTCTCTCTCTCTCTCTCTGTCCTCTCTCTCTCTCTCTGTCTCCCCTCTCTGTCTCTCTCTCTCTTCTCTCTCTCTCCTCTCTCTCTCTCTCTCTGTCTCTCTCTGTCTCTCTCTCTCTCTCAAGTGGCCTCCTACCTCTGTGGGGGGGGGGGGCAGCTGATGTTAAAAGAAGAGATTCAAAGGATGAAAATTAATAGTAGTAGGAAGCAGGCTAATATAGAGGAAACATCTGGGTTCTGATACTAAAGTAAAATTAAACCTGTAGCAGTAACGTATTACTGTTTTGACTTGAATGTGAATTGGAAAGCATATTAAATATTTTGCACCTGGCATGATTTATGTTTTTTTTTTTTTCTTTATCGTATAAGATGGCAGGTGAATGTTAACTTCGGCTTTGACTTATTTCCTATATAAAACTTAGTTCTTGTTCCTGTGATATTCACTTAAGTGCAAAAATTATAGGGAATGAGTCTGTTGAGTATACCTGGTAAAGCATATGGTAGTTATTGAAAGCATTAAGAGTAAGACAGAGTAGGATGGCAGATGAACAAGGAGGCTTTAGGAAGGTAGGGGGTGTGTAGACCAGGTGTTAACATTGAAACATAGGTGAACAGTATTTAGATGAGGCTAAAGAGGTTTTTGTGGCATTTATGGATTTGGAAAAGGCATATGACAGGGTGGATAGGGAAGCAATTTGGCAGGTGTTGGTGTATGGTATAGGAGGTAGTTTACTGAAAACAGTGAAGAGTTTTTACAAGGATAGTGAGGCTCGGGTTAGAGTATGTAGGAGAGAGAGAGAGTGAGTTTCCCAGTAAATGTAGGGCTTAGACAAGGATGTGTGATGTCACTGTGGCTGTTCAACATATTTATAGATGGGGTTGTAAGAGAAGTGAATGCGAGGGCCTTGGCAAGAGGTGTGGAGTTAAAAGATAAAGAATCAAACAAAGTGGGAGTTGTCAAAGTTGCTCTTTGCTGATGACACTGTGCTCTTGGGAGATTCTGAAGAGTTGCAGAGGTTGGTGGATGAATTTGGTAGGGTATGTAAAAGAAGAAAATTAAGTGAATGTAGGAAAGAGTAAGGTGATAACAAAGATTAGGTGAAGAAAGACTGGATATCAGATTGGAGGGAGAGAGTATGGAGGACGTGAAGGTATTCAGATATTTAGGAGTGGACTTGTCAGCAGATGGGTCTATGAAGGATGAGGTGAATCATAAAATTGATGAGGGGGAAAAAGGGTGAGTGGTGCACTTAGGAGTCTGTGGAGACAAAAAAAAACTCAGTGGAAGCAAAGAGGGGAATGCAAGCGAGAATAGTTATACCAACACTCCTATATGGGTGTGAAGCATGGGTGATGAATGTTGCAACGAGAAGGCTGGAGGCAGTGGAGATGTCATGTCTTTGCTATGTGTAGTGTGAATATAATGCAGAGAATTTGTAGCTTGGAAATTGGGAGGTGTGGGATTACCAAAACTATTATCCAGAGGGTTGAGGAGGGGTTGAGGTGGTTTGGACACGTAGAGAGAATAGAACAAAACAGAATGACTTAGTGTATAAATCTGTAGTGGAGGGAAGGCAGGGTAGGAGTCGGCCTAGGAAAGATTGGAGGGAGAGTGTTAAGGTTTTGTGTACAAGGGGCTTGGACTTCCAGCAAGCATGCATGAGTGTATTTGATAGGAGTGAATGGAGGCAATTTGTTTTTAATACTTGACATGCTGTTGGAGTGTGAAGAAAGTAACATTTATGAAGGGTTTCAGGGAAACCGGCAGGACGGACTAGAGTCCTGGAGATGGGAAGTACAGTGTCTACACTCTGAAGGAGGGTGTTAATGTTGCAGTTTTATAACTGTAGTGTAAAGCACCCCTCTGGCTTAACAGTGATGGAGTGAATGATGATGAAAGTTTCTTTTTCGGGCCACCCTGCCTTTGTGGGAATCGGCCGATGTGTTAATAAAAAAAATAAAATTCACTTCAGGCATTTGTTAGATTTTTTATGCCTTGCTGCTTTTATAACATTAATGTTGTGTTATAATATTGAAAAAATTTTTACCTTCAGAATTAAAATGGGAGAGCAGGGTCCAGTTGACCTTCCTAGATCACCACTTCAGGTAAGATAGTTGTTTGTAGTTAATAGTACAGTCACATTTTGTCAACAGTGTTATGGTGGGCATAATTTGTCAGCTACATTAGTATATGTGAAGTAAACTGAACTTCACTGAGGTCAGGTCAAGTGAACTGTTGTGGGATCACCTAGGAGCTGTCTCCTGAACTCACCTCAGCTGTTCACCTCACCTGACCTCACATTTTTACCTCGCCTGATCCCACAACAGTTACACATAGCAGTTCAATTTATGTCGCATGTACTTTTACCTCTATGACATTATTTCTCGTGCATCGTGTATATTTGGAGGGAACAAAGTTCCAGGACAAAAATTTTTTTTTATATACTCTTGTTAACCCTTTCAGGGTCCGTCCCGTAGATCTACGGCTTTACGGTGAGTGTCCAAACCGTAGATCTACGCCATGAGCTCAGCTCACTCTGATAAACTGTGAGGGGTACATTTGGGCCTAGATATGAGAGAATACATCTATGTGGTATGTGTGCACCACATAAAACAGATCCTGCAGCACACTGTGTATAATGAGAGAAAAAAACTGAAATCATGATTTTTCGATTAAAACAGCAACTTTGCAGTGTTTTTTTGTATGTTTTTTATAGTTGTATTTGCGATTTCTTGGTCTCATTTGATAGAATGGAAGACATATTACAGAAATAGAGATGATTTTGATTGGTTTTAGCACTGGAAATGGCTTGAAACTGAGCTCAAAGTAGCGGAAATGTTAAATTTTTGCCGATATTCAAGAGTAAACAAACGACCTCACACATCTAATACACGTCAGCTGGTGGGTCTAATATACATTCACAAATATGGTGGTGATATTTATACAATTATTACGGTATTGCATAACAGTAAATCTTCTATTTTTTGGTGTGAATAAAAATTCATTATGTGAATAAAAAATCAAAATGGAATTTATTTGTAAAGCCTCAAAACATAACTAATGAACAGAGGAAATGTTAGTTTAGTGCCAGGAATGCCTACATTGTTTATTCTGGACCCTATTTTGAAATTGGAATATTTTGAACTTTGTGTTAAATTGGCCAAATTAACAATTTCCGATCACTTTATTTTGTAGTTGAAACAGTTGACTTGGCGATTTCTTGTGCTCAATCGATAGAATAGAAGTAATACTAGTGAAATAGCTAAGAATTTGGTTGATTGGAATAATGTAATTGGCCTAAAATGGGAGTCAAAGTCGGCAAAATCGCCGATTCGTAAATATCGCTGACACATCAAAATTCGCGAGAGCATAATTTCGTCAATTTTCCACCAAATTTCGTACTTTTTGTTTTATTACCTTCACAAAAAGATTCTCTACGATTTCATAAGAAAAAATAACAAATTTTTTTTTTGAAAATTCTTGGACACTGGTGCGTGACTCCAGATTTGGGCCTTGGACCCTGAAAGGGTTAATACAGGCATTATTTTATTGGGCATTTTTGTTAATTACTTCTATTACTGGTTAGTCTTTACAAATTGCTGTACTATAAATTATTATATTCACTGGAAAGCTCTCGATCGCAAAGTACCTGTAAAATAGGAAATAATCAGGATGGGAGGAATAGCTTCAATTTTTTCCTTGCTGGATTATCCATTTTTGCTTGACCAACAGAGGTCATGAAATGTTGCTCCTAGAGCAGTAAATTTTATAAATTTTATTTTTATAACTGTAGCACTAATCTTTTACAACATTTCACCCAAACAAAGTTGTTTAAAGTGCTTTAATCTTTTCCTGTGTAATTGCTCATGCATCAAATAGATTAATTAGCTCTTGTTCCATCACCAAGGTGCATTGTTCTGATTAATACACCTGACAGTTTAGTTTGTCAGCGGAGTCTTTCAGCTTCACCACTGACACTTGTATCTATCTTAGAAGCCATAGCCACACTCACACATTATCACTGTTTTTGCAGAGGTGCTCAGAATACAACAGTTTAGAAGCATATACGTATAAAGATACACAACATATCCCTCCAAACTGCCAATATCCCAAACCCCTCCTTTAAAGTGCAGGCATTGTACTTCCCATTTCCAGGACTCAAGTCCGACTATATGAAAATAACCAGTTTCCCTGAATCCCTTCACTAAATATTACCCTGCTCACACTCCAACAGATCATCAGGTCCCAAGTACCATTCGTCTCCATTCACTCCTATCTAACACGCTCATGCATGCTTGCTGGAAGTCCAAGCCCCTCGCCCACAAAACCTCCTTTACCCCCTCTCTCCAACCCTTTCGAGGACGACCCCTACCCCACTCTCCTTCCCCTATAAATTTATATGCTTTCCATGTCATTCTACTTTGATCCATTCTCTCTAAATGACCAAACCACCTCAACAACCCCTCTTCTGCCCTCTGACTAATACTTTTATTAACTCCACACCTTTTCCTAATTTCCACACTCCGAATTTTCTGCATAATATTTACACCACACATTGCCCTTAGACAGGACATCTCCACTGCCTCCAACCGTCTCCTCGCTGCTGCATTTACCACCCAAGCTTCACACCCATATAAGAGTGTTGGTACTACTATACTTTCATACATTCCCTTCTTTGCCTCCATAGATAATGTTTCTTGACTCCACATATACCTCAACGCACCACTCACCTTTTTTCCCTCATCAATTCTATGATTAACCTCATCCTTCATAAATCCATCCGCCGACACGTCAACTCCCAAGTATCTGAAAACGTTCACTTCTTCCATACTCCTCCTCCCCAATTTGATATCCAATTTTTCTTTATCTAAATCATTTGATACCCTCATCACCTTACTCTTTTCTATGTTCACTTTCAACTTTCTACCTTTACACACATTCCCAAACTCATCCACTAACCTTTGCAATTTTTCTTTAGAATCTCCCATAAGCACAGTATCATCAGCAAAAAGTAACTGTGTCAATTCCCATTTTGAATTTGATTCCCCAAAATTTAATCCCACCCCTCTCCCGAACACCCTAGCATTTACTTCCTTTACAACTCTATCTATAAATATATTAAACAACTATGGTAACATTACACATCCCTGTCTAAGACCTACTTTTACCGGGAAGTATTCTCCCTCTCTTCTACACACCCTAACCTGAGCCTCACTATCCTCATAAAAACTCTTTACAGCATTTAATAACTTACCACCTATTCCATATACTTGCAACATCTGCCACGTTGCTCCTATATCCACTCTATCATATGCCTTTTCTAAATCCATAGATGCAATAAAAACTTCCCTACCTTTATCTAAATACTGTTCACATATATGCTTCAATGTAAACACTTGATCTACACATCCCCTACCCACTCTGAAACCTCCTTGCTTATCCGCAATTCTACATTCTGTCTTACCTCTAATTCTTTCAATTATAACCCTACCGTACACTTTTCCTGGTATACTCAGTAAACTTATTCCTCTGTAATTTTTACAATCTCTTTTGTCCCCTTTCCCTTTATATAAAGGGACTATACATGCTCTCTGCCAATCCCTAGGTACCTTCCCCTCTTTCATACATTTATTAAACAAAAATACCAACCACTCCAACAGTATATCCCCCCCTGCTTTTAACATTTCTGTCATGATCCCATCAGTTCCAGCTGCTTTACCCCCTTTCATTCTATGTAATGCCTCACGTACCTCCCCCACACTTACATTCTGCTCTTCTTCACTCCTAAAAGATGGTATACCTCCCTGACCAGTGCATGAAATTACCGCCTCTCTTTCTTCCTTAACATTTAAAAGTTCCTCAAAATATTCTCGCCATCTACCTAATACCACCATCTCCCCATCTACTAACTCCCCTACTCTGTTTTTAACTGACAAATCCATACTTTCCCTAGGCTTTCTTAACTTGCTTAACTCACTTCAAAATTTTTTCTTATTTTCATTAAAATTTCTTGACAGTGCCTCTCCCACTCTATCATCTGCTCTCTCACCACTCTCTTCACCTTTCTTTTACTCTCCATATACTCTGCTCTTCTTATAACACTTCTGCTTTGTAAAAACCTCTCATCAATGTAAGTATAAAAAAAAAATCTCATTAAATCACTTTATCGCCACCAACTGCAGTGTAAAAAAAATGAGCACACTAGTGTCATCTGTAGCTGCCCAATTAGTAGTTTAATGTATACCCCATACCCATCCTGTGGGCAGTGTAAACTAGTCTGGTAGTTAACCCTTTCAGGGTCCACAGTCCCTCTCAGACTTGTTCTCAGGGTCCCCCAAATTTCAAAAAAAAAAAAATAATGTTTTCTTATGAAAAGATCGAGAATCTTTTCCCAATCATAATGACACCAAGAGTATGAAATTTGATCGAAAACTTGCGGAATTATGCTCTCACGAAGTTAGCGGTCTCGACGATGTTTACGCATCAGCTATTTTTGCCTACTTTGAGCCCTATTTTCGGCCAATTCCAATGTACTAGTTTACCTGGAGTTTACCTGGAGAGAGTTTCGGGGGTCAACGCCCCCGCGGCCCGGTCTGTGACCAGGCCTCCTGGTGGATCAGAGCCTGATCAACCAGGCTGTTGCTGCTGGCTGCACGCAAACCAACGTACGAGCCACAGCCCGGCTGATCAGGAACTGACTTTAGGTGCTTGTCCAGTGCCAGCTTGAAGACTGCCAGGGGTCTGTTGGTAATCCCCCTTATGTGTGCTGGGAGGCAGTTGAACAGTCTCGGGCCCCTGACACTTATTGTATGGTCTCTTAACGTGCTAGTGACACCCCTGCTTTTCATTGGGGGGATGGTGCATCGTCTGCCAAGTCTTTTGCTTTCGTAGTGAGTGATTTTCGTGTGCAAGTTCGGTACTAGTCCCTCTAGGATTTTCCAGGTGTATATAATCATGTATCTCTCCCTCCTGCGTTCCAGGGAATACAGGTTTAGAACTCCATTTTTTCTATCAAATGAGTACAGGAAACCACCAATTTACAGATTTCAGCTATCCAATACAGTGGTCAGAATTTAGCAATTTTGCCAATTTCACACAGATTTCAAAAGATGCCAATTTCCAAATAGGGTCCAGAATAAGACAGTCCTGGCACTAAAATAACATTTCCTCTGTTCATTAGTCATGTCCCCATGCCCCTCTTACATTTCTTTTGCTTTCCACTTTGAAGTTTTCTCACAAAAAAAATAAGATTTACTGTTATGCAGACTACTGCATTAGTGTAGAAATGGTATAAATAATATCAGCGCACTTGTGAAAGAATATTAGACTCGCCAGTTGACGTATTGGACGCTTAGCATGATTTTACTTTTGAACTTTGGTAAAAATCAAACATTTCTGCTACTTTGAGCTCAATTTGAAGGTACTTTTCATTGTTAAACCAGTGAAAATAATCTAGATATCTGTAATGTCTTCCATTCTATACAATGAGACCAGGAAAACTAGAATACAAAAATAAATACCATACGAAAATATAGTGCAAAGTATGTTTTAATCCAAAAACTGTCAGGTTTTTTTCTCATTATGCAATGTGTGCTGCAGGATTTTTTTATACTGTGCACACTGACCATAGACCCATTCTTTCATATGTAGGCCTACCAGCTTTCTCTCGCTAGATTTGAAGGCGCTAGAATTTATGCGTACTAGTGCGTCATGGACACTGGCATGTAAGCCATACTAGTATGGCCGAAACCCTGAAAGGGTTAAGGGATTTTAGAGTGCATTCGTAATTTGGTCCTGACCAGAAGGTGCTAAACCATCACCTCCCAGAAAATTGTTGTACCCATATTATTATTATTAGTAGTAGTAGTATTATGATAATCATAGGGAAAACTAACTTAGCCAATTTCTCAACAGATCTGGATTGCTGAGGAAAAGAAACAGCCAAACAAAGAAGCTGTGACATGTAAAGAATGGAAACAGAAGTTCCAGAATCTTGAGAAGGAAGAAAAGTTGAAGCATATCATTACTTCACTCAAAGAATTTTATGAGTATAAGGCAAGTGGTTTTGTAGCTGTTTTATGAGTAGTATAAGGCAAGTGCTTTTGTAGCTGTTTTATGAGTAGTATAAGGCAAGTGCTTTTGTAGCTGTTTTATGAGTATAAGGCAAGTGGTTTTGTAGCTGTTTTATGAGTATAAGGCAAGTGCTTTTGTAGCTGTTTTATGAGTAGTATAAGGCAAGTGCTTTTGTAGCTGTTTTATGAGTATAAGGCAAGTGGTTTTGTAGCTGTTTTATGAGTAGTATAAGGCAAGTGCTTTTGTAGCTGTTTTATGAGTAGTATAAGGCAAGTGCTTTTGTAGCTGTTTTATGAGTATAAGGCAAGTGGTTTTGTAGCTGTTTTATGAGTATAAGGCAAGTGCTTTTGTAGCTGTTTTATGAGTATAAGGCAAGTGGTTTTGTAGCTGTTTTATGAGTAGTATAAGGCAAGTGCTTTTGTAGCTGTTTTATGTAGTATAAGGCAAGTGGTTTTGTAGCTGTTTTATGAGTATAAGGCAAGTGCTTTTGTAGCTGTTTTATGAGTATAAGGCAAGTGCTTTTGTAGCTGTTTTATGAGTATAAGGCAAGTGCTTTTGTAGCTGTTTATGATAGTATAGGCAAAGTGCTTTTGTAGCTGTATTATGAGTATAATGGCAGTGTTTTGTAGCTTTTATATATAAGGCAAGTGCTTTGTAGCTTTTTATGAGTATAAGCAAGGCTTTGTAGCGTTAAAATATGAGGTATTGTCACTATGTAATTATGATTACAAACTTATTTTTAGAGAAACTAGATTTTTTTCATCCGACCTTTAGTCGAAACTCGATGTTTTTATCATCGCTCGACATATCATCCAACTTTTTTTTTTTTCCCCTCTCACATCTTGGTTTTCATACTTTTGTGACTTACTAATAGTTGTCCAGAAAGCAGTGAAACACTTGATAATTTCCTCTGGACAGTGTGAAATTTTTGTGAATTGCTTCAGCCACAGCTGTTTTCAGGATCAGCAACTTGTGTCGGGTGGATAGACTATGAAATTAATGAAGTTGAAGCTTCAGGACCCCTGATCCCAAAGGGACCCCAGAAGCAACTTTAGTCCACATTGCTTAAAATTTTTGGGTCTACTGTAATTTAATTAGTGTAATTAAATACAAAATACAGGCCGGACTTGAATCTTGGAGATGGGAAGTACAGTGTCTGCACTCTGAAGGACGGGTGTTAATGTTGCAGTTTAAAAACTGTAGTGTAAAGCACCCTTCTGGCAAGACAGTGATGGAGTGAATGATGGTGAAAGTTTTTCTTTTTTGAGCCACCCTGCCTTGGTGGGAATTGGCCGGTATGATATTTTTTTTATTAATAAGTTTTGCTGGTTGTGAAGGATCCCCATAACAGTTAGTTTCAGGGCCCCAAAAATGCAGGTCCACTACTGGCTTATAATTGATGAACACATTACACAATTTCCACACTTCTCATCCCACCTACTGCACACATTTAAATTTTTATAAAAAATTAGATTTTTGGAAAAGGGCGTGTACTTTGAGTGGCAGGTGACCAAACATTTTTAATATTCTTAAGAAAATTAATCCATATTTATTTTCCACCGAGGTATTGCGTGTTAGGAGTGAATGTAGATGAATAGTTTTTGGGATTTGATGAACAGTTGGAGTGTGAACAGGGTAATATTTTGTGAAGGGATTCAGAGAAACTGCTTAGCCAGACTTGAGTCCTGGAGGTGGGGAAGTACAATGCCTGCACTTTCAAGAGGGGTTTGGGATATTTGCAGTTTAGAGTGACGTCTGAACTGTCAATCTGAGTGCCTCTGCAGGATAGGGATTGTGTGAATGATGAAAGTTTCTCTTGCTTTGGGTTACACTGCCTTGATGGCAGACTGCCAACTAAGTGTATATTCTCTTGATTTTTGTTCATACCTCGATATTGGCTGCAGAGTAAAGTTTGTAGTCGTGCACAGTTTGGATTAAAAGTAATAAACTGTATAAAACAAAAAGATTGCATTTAATGTTGATATTAATCTGTTAATGTTTAAATTAGTGTTCCACCATAGTTGAAATTTGTTTTATACATTACTGTATTACTATCAATCAGCATTTTTTTCCTTGTGTTGTGTATTTGCTTTGTGAATTACCCTAATTGCTTTTATTTTGCTTCTTTACAGAAAAGTGCAGATGAATACAAGGAGAAAAATCCTGATTTTAAATTTCCCATCATTCACAGTCCTATCAAAAGTGATATACAGCTCTTCCTTGAGTGAGTAATATTGTTCCCTTTTGTGTATGTTCTGATTATATACATGGGTACCTTGAGTTGCAGTATTAATCTGTTCCAGATGTATCGTAACCCAAAACTACCGACTCAAAACCACAAAATAAGATTCTATGGTAATTCATCCCAAAACCCTGTAAGTGCAACTTCTACTGCAGCCTGCACTTTGCATGCTCAATGTATTATGATTTTTATAATCAGAACCAATTGCTGAATCTACAAGGGCTGACTTAAATATAACATGCAAGCATTGTCCTCCATCTGCTTCTCTTATCTACAGTAACAAGTCTTTCCATCTGTGTGGTAATTTCTGCCTTATTTTCATTAGATTCATCGGCCACTAAAATATCCTGTCATTGCTTAATAGGAGATGGTTGATAGTGGAAAGCCATACTCTGACACCAATGCCCTTCTAACTCCTGCATCTTGGTTTATAACCCTTTTTTGAGCTTCATAGATATAGTGGTCATTGCACACTTTAGGGGCCATGATGACCCGGTAACACAGATAGCATAATTAAAGAGCAAATGCATATCATATATCCAATTTTTCACAACTCAAAACTAAACTCCTTTGAGGGGCAAATTATAACTCGGAACTATGGTAACGCCCTCTCATTGTAACCCAAGAGACTACTGTACTGAGACATATGTAACTTTTATCAAATGAGCCATTCCTTATCCATCCTTCAGAATGCTTTCTACTCTGGCAGCATTCCTGTTTTTTTTGTTCTTGGTAAATCTTGTATACTTATTTGGTAGCTTCCCTCTCATTGAGGCATACGAGATTGCCCTATTCACAGATAGGGCATTCTTTAATTACATTTATTGATGGTGTAACTTTTTATCCCCCATATTATTCAAGGTGTTATAAGAAATGTTCCTATATTTTCAGATACAGGGGAATGCCAATGCCTCCTCCCACCAGACCTAGCATGATACTTTATCATGAACTCCGGAAGGCTGGAGAGTTGGACCAGATTTCAGGTTCAGAGAAGCTCATGGTGGCTATGGAGAGGTACAAAAACCTGCCCTCTTCAAGAAAACTAAATTACAAATCTATACTACATAAGGTAAAGTGATCAGGACTGTTCACAAGAAATTTATGAATATGTAGTGAATTGATAACGGCAGAAATTAATGATGGAAGCAATTTAATAATGGTGCTAGTGCCTTGTTAAACTGTGAATGCTACACCTCACTCTTGGATTATTGTATTTGCAATGAAACATTGAACTTTTGCTTGGCCTCACTACCTAGGGAATGAGACATAGCCAGGTATGATTTTAGGAATGATAAGGCAGCTCCAATTCAAAATTTCAGGGTTACTCAAAATTTAGCATAATGGCAGAAATTCATTTGTTTTCCAGAAAATGGAGGAGTACAGAATGCAGATGCATGCCTGGGAAGAGAATCAAGACGAGTTAACATTGTTTATGAGAGCAAGACTACTTGTGAGTACTGTATAACATTACTGTTCCTCTTGAGCAAAAGAAATAGAGAGCTAGATAGATAGTGGTCCCTCGATAATAGTCGAGCTCAATAGTTGTCCTTTTTGGAAATTGCCGCTTTATTTTAGTCCAAACACTGGCTCACAAATGGTCGGTTGACTCGCTAATCGTCATTCGTCCTGGACGCGTACTCACGGCTCTGAGCCACCTCGGCCTCCCTTCCCATTATTATTATAATCAAGGGGGAAGCGCTAAACCCGGAGGATTATACAGCGCCTGGGGGGGGGGATGTGGAAAGCATTCAGGCTTAATTCGGGGAACTGGAGCACAGATCCAATTCCCTAAATCAAGAGCCCCTCACCAACATCAAGGAACCTTCCTTGAGGGCCTCCCTTCCCAGCCAGTGTGCCATTGTTTACCAGTGAGCGATGGTCCCCTCGCGTGTTCATACGAAATTTCATAATATTCGATTCATTTTAGTGCTTGCAAGTGCTAAATAAGCTACCATGGCTCCAAAGAAAGCTCCTTTGGTAAAGGTGAGAAATATGATTGAATTTAAGAAAAACATCATTGAACAATGTGAAAGTGGCGTACGTGTGGCCGAACTGGCGAGGATGTATAACAAATCCCGTACAACCATATCTTCCATCGTGGCCAAGAAAAAGGAAATCAAGGATGCTGTTGTTGCAAAGGGGGTAAATATGCTGACAAAAATGAGATCACCAGTACTCAAAGAGGTTGAGAAGTTATTATTGGTGTGGATAAACAAGAAACAATTAACAGGAGATAGTCCTATTACATAGATTGTTTGTGATAAAGCTAGGCAGTTGCATGACGATCTGGTAAAGAAATTGCCTGCAACGAGTACTGATATTTGTGAATTTAAGGCCAGCAAGGGTTGGTCTGAGAGATTTAAGAACCGTAGTGGCATACAGTGTGATAAGGCATGGTGAGGCTGCCAGTTCGGACAAAATTACAGCTACAAAATTTGTAAGTGAATTCAAGGAGTACATAGAGGCTGAAGGACTGAAACCTGAACAAGTGTTCAATTGTTATGAAACAGGCCTCTTTTGGAAGAAAATGCCAAACAGGACCTACATTACTCAGGAGGAAAAGAGACTGCCAGGACACAAGCCTATGAAAGACAGGCTGATGCTCATGTTCTGTGCTAATGCTAGTGGGGATTTCAAAGCAAAGCTGTTACTAGTGTACCATTCTGAAAATCCCAGTGTGTTAAAAAAAAACAACGTTATAAATTGTGTGTTTTGGAGATCTAATAATAAGGCATGGGGTCACGAGGGAAATTTTCATTGAGTGGTTCAATGAAGTGTTTGGCCTTAGTGTGAAGAATTACCTCCTGGAAAAGAAATTGGATCTCGGGTGCCTCCTGGTAATGGACAATGCACCTGTTCATCCTCCAAACTTGGATGACCTAATTCTGCCAGTTTGGGTTCATCACAGTAAAGTTCTTGCCCCCGAATACCACTCCTCTAGCCCATGGACCAGAAGGTCATTTCAAACTTTAAAAAACTACATGAAAGCAATGTTTCAAAGGTGCTTTAATGTGACCTTAGACACTCACTCGACCCTAAGAGTTTTGGAAAGAATACTTTAGTATCCTCCATTGCATAAGCCTTATAGGTAAGGCTTGGGAGGGAGTGACTACCATGACTTGGAACTCTGCGTGGAGAAAATTGTGGCCAGATTGTGTCCACAAGGGATTTTGAAGGGTTTGTGGCTGACCCTGATGAGCCTGTGTCAGTTGTGAACTCTATTGTGGCATTGGGGAGTTCCATGGGGTTGGATGTGAGTTTGGAGGATGTGGAAGAGTTGGAGGACCACAATGAAGAGCTAACCACTGAGGAGCTGCAAGAGCCTCAGCAGGAAGAGCAACAGATCGCAGCTCAGAATCTTGCTGCAGAGGAGGAGGAGGAAGAGAGGTGGAAGAAGGTGCCTTTTTCAGAAATTAATTAGATTTTTGAAATGTGGGGTAGGATGGAAAGATTTATGGAGAAACATCACCCTGAGAAGGATGTTGCAAGCCATATCGGTAACTTGTACAGTGACAGTCTTGGCCCATTTTAGGGATGCCAGAAACAGCTCTGGACTTTTTTTTTTTTTTTTTTGTGAGACAGGACTCCAGTGACTCAAGCTGGTCCTAGCGGCATTAAGAAACAAAGAAGTAACCCCAGAAAAGGACTTGGTACCTAAGGTGTTGATGGGAGGGGATTCCCCTTTTAAACAGTAACTAATCCAATCTCTCTCCTCCAGTCTTCCATACACTAAGAAGAATCACCAATAAAGGTAAGTGTTATGCTGTTAATGTTTCATTCATCATGTCCCATTGTATTGTTTATGTACTACATCTATATTTTGTGTATAAAAAAAAATTGTTTTAATACTTCTGGGTGTCAGGAACGGATTAATTGTATTTACATTATTTCTTACGGGGAAAATTGACTGGAAAATCGTCTTTTGATAATCGTCGCACTTCCAGGAACAGATTAACGACAAATGAGGGACCACTATTAATTTACATATTTGTGGGTGAGATGTTATCAACAAATTTTGTTGAAAATAAGAAAAAGTTTTAGAGTGAGATTAACAAGTTAAGGAAGCCTAGAGAACAAATGGATTTGTCAGTTAAAAATAGGAGAGGAGAGTTATTAAATGGAGAGTTAGAGGTATTGGGAAGATGGAGGGAATATTTTGAGGAATTGTTAAATGTTGATGAAGATAGGGAAGCTGTGATTTCGTGTATAGGGCAAGGAGGAATAACATCTTGTAGGAGTGAGGAAGGGCCAGTTGTGAGTGTGGGGGAAGTTCGTGAGGCAGTAGGTAAAATGAAAGGGGGTAAGGCAGCCAGGATTGATGGGATAAAGATAGAAATGTTAAAAGCAGGTGGGGATATACTTTTGGAGTGGTTGGTGCAATTATTTAATAAATGTATGGAAGAGGGTAAGGTACCTAGGGATTGGCAGAGAGCATGCATAGTTCCTTTGTATAAAGGCAAAGGGGACAAAAGAGAGTGCAAAAATTATAGGGGGATAAGTCTGTTGAGTATACCTGGTAAAGTGTAGAGTTATTATTGAAAGAATTAAGAGTAAGACGGAGAATAGGATAGCAGATGGACAAGGAGGCTTTAGGAAAGGTAGGGGGTGTGTGGACCAGGTGTTTACAGTGAAACATATAAGTGAACAGTATTTAGATAAGGCTAAAGAGGTCTTTGTGGCATTTATGGATTTGGAAAAGGCGTATGACAGGGTGGATAGGGGGGCAATGTGGCAGATGTTGCAGGTGTATGGTATAGGAGGTAGGTTACTGAAAGCAGTGAAGAGTTTTTACGAGGATAGCGAGGCTCAAGTTAGAGTATGTAGGAAAGAGGGAAATTATTTCCCAGTAAAAGTAGGCCTTAGACAAGGATGTGTGATGTCACAGTGGTTGTTTAATATATTTATAGATGGGGTTGTAAGAGAAGTAAATGTGAGGGTCTTGGCAAGAGGCGTGGAGTTAAAAGATAAAGAATCGCACATAAAGTGGGAGTTGCCACAGTTGCTCTTTGCTGATGACACTGCTCTTGGGAGATTCTGAAGAGAAGTTGCAGAGATTGGTGGATGAATTTGGTAGGGTGTGCAAAAGAAGAAAATTAAAAGTGAATACAGGAAAGAGCAAGGTAATGAGGATAAAAAAGATTAGGTGATGAAAGATTGGATATCAGATTGGAGGGAGAGAGTATGGAGGAGGTGAATGTATTCAGATATTTGGGAGTGGACGTGTCAGCGGATGGGTCTATGAAAGATGAGGTGAATCATAGAATTGATGAGGGGAAAAGGGTGAGTGGTGCACTTAGGAGTCTGTGGAGACAAAGAAGGGAATGTATGAGAGTATAGTTTTACCAATGCTCTTATATGGGTGTGAAGCATGGGTGATGAATGTTGCAGCAAGGAGAAGGCTGAAGGCAGTGGAGATGTCATGTCTGAGGGCAATGTGTGGTGTGAATATAATGCAGAGAATTGGTAGTTAGGAGGAGGTGCGGGATTACCAAAACTGTTGTCCAGAGGGCTGAGGAAGGGTTGTTGAGGTGGTTCGGACATGTAGAGAGAATGGAGCGAAACAGAGTGACTTCAAGAGTGTATCAGTCTGTAGTGGAAGGAAGGCGGGGTAGGGGTCGGCCTAGGAAAGGTTGGAGGGAGGGGATAAAGGAGGTTTTGTGTGCGAGGGGCTTGAACTTCCAGCAGGCATGCGTGAGCGTGTTTGATAGGAGTGAATGGAGACAAATGGTTTTTAATACTTGACGTGCTGTTGGAGTGTGAGGAAAGTAACATTTATGAAGGGGTTCAGGGAAACCGGCAGGCTGGACTTGAGTCCTGGAGATGGGAAGTACAGTGTCTGCACTCTGAAGGAGGGGTGTTAATGTTGCAGTTTAAAAACTGTAGTGTAAAGCACCCTTATGGCAAGACAGTGATGGAGTGAATGATGGTGAAAGTTTTTCTTTTTCGGGCCACCCTGCCTTGGTGGGAATCGGCCAGTGTGATAAAATAATAATTTTAAACACGCTGCCAGTCTCCCACCGAGGCAGGGTGACCCAAAAAACAAACCCTTTCACAACACCACCTAGGAACCAATTAAGTTCAATTCTCATACAAGGAGAAACCAGGGCAGTAGAGATGTGGTAGTCAGTGTCTAGGTGATGGAGACATTGGGGGTTAGTGACTGCAATGTGTAAAATGTTTGGGTGTCTGTCTAGGTAAAGGAGTGGTAACAGCTAGTAAGAGAAAAGTGAAATACGTAAGTCATTTTCAATTCAGCAGATATATTTTTGGTTGCTATCTGGTTAATTATTTTAAAACTGTAGCATCTTGTGTAGTTTAATAACAGCTTAAGAAAACAATGTGTATTTCTTATTAATCTTATCAAAATATGTAAAACTTATTTAACTAATGTTTTTCACAGGGAGATAAAATTAAGAAAACCGCCCCATCTGCAAGTACCCATCATAAACTGTTAAAACCATCAGAAACATTTGAAAATGTGATTAAATGTGAAATGTCCATCCCAAAGTTTCTTGATGGACCATGCAAACCTCCCAAGAGCCCTTTTATGCTCTTCTTTATGAGGATAAAACATTTGGCTCAAGATCAATATGAATCGCAGTCCCAGATCAAAAATGCATGTTTAAAAGAATGGAAAAACCTGTCCAAGGATGAGAAGCAAAGATATACTGAACGTTGTGAAGAACTTAAGGAAAAATATGCAGAACAAATATTACAGTATGTGGAAAACATGAACAAAAATTTACGTAGATTGTATCTTGGCGTTCATCGCAAGACATTGTTTACATTCTTTCAACGTGATATATTTGAAGAAGTGTATCCTAATAAAAAGTATCCTGTTTATTTGTTACACCCACGGAAGCGGAAAACAAGTGAGGATAATTTCTCCGGAGAACTGAGCGATGACGACTTTACTGCCGATTCTTTATCTGGCAAGAACAATAATAAAAATGTTGAGTTTAAAAAGAAAAAGAATGAGAACAAAAGTGATTCTTTGCAGTCTAAAGATAAGTTATCCAGTGATGGTTATGTGAAATCAAAGGCAGTGAAAGGTACAAGTCATAGTGACATTGCAAAATCAGAAAAAGGCAAAGAAACATCTGCACCAACTTTTTCACTGTTTGAAAATAAAGTAAATTACTTAGGAACTAAAGAAATTCTTGATTCATTCTCTAGTGATGACGATCAGAGAATACAAGAAAATATAAAAACATTTGAGGAAGAAAGTACGAAAACTGACAGTGACTCTGAATGTGACATTGAACCCAGCCAGTCACCTTACAAAGGCTCAGCCGAAGCCTCATTGACCACCACACCAAATAAACTGGAATCTGATGACTCGAGCAGCAGTGATGGTTACTCAGATACAGATGTTATGCCAGCCTGGAAGACTACAAAATCTATCAGAAAGAAAGTATGAAAGTAAGCTTGATTATTGCCTCCATTATTAAAAAATTGTCTTGGTAGAAAATAAACAGTCGATATTTGATTGTCCACAAGAATGGTGATTTCCTTTGGTTAAAATAAAAATTCCAAGTGATCAATGTTTTTTAGTGTCTTACAAGTAAGTGAAATTAATTTTACATATTTTGGTAACAAAACCACATGGAAAACTTGCTTAACCCCTTTGACTGTCGCAAGCCCCTTTCTGAAACTGTCATTCTATGTTGCAAAATTTTTGAAAAAAAATTATTTACGAAATGAGAGAATCTTTTCCCGATGGTAATGACACCAAGTACAAAATTTGGTCAAAAACTCACGGAATTACACTCCTGCGCCCCTTCAAGGGGGGCTCCTTGGTGTGGTGAAGAGGCTCTTGGTCTGAGGAATTAGACCTGTCGGTCTCCTTCCTCAGACCAAACCTAATTATCCCCCAATCCCCCCTTCTCTCTCCCATTCTCCCCTTTTTCCTTTCCTCCTCCCCCTCCCTTTTGCCCTTCCTTTTTCGCCTTTGGGATTTTTTCCCACAGGCACGCTAGTTCCTAGGTAGGGGAAAGGGTACCGGGGTCCATCCCATTCCGTTGAGGTTCTTGGCGGTGGCGTAGTTTGCCATGGAATCTGGATTGCCTGGGGATGCCCCGATCCCCCTCCAGTATCCCGGAAGGTGGCTTTGGGTGTCTTTCTGGAAGCCACCTTTTGGATTCCGGGGGTGGTGGCCGAAGGAGGTATGCTTTGTGGCGTATATCCGGCCGCCCTCTCTTTTGTCCACCGAGGTAGCTCGGCAGATGTGAGGTTGCTATCCCGGATTGCTGGTTTACTGGCATGATGGGTAGGGTATGGCACAGGTTCCATGCTGCATCTGCACTACTAGCGGTGCTGAGGTCCTCTTGGTTGCGGAGGGAGATTTCTGGCCCTTTCATTCCTCCTTGGAGCTATCCCTCCCCGGTCCCCCCTTTTTTTACTTTTTAAGAAAAAACAAAAAGAAAGAAGCAACCTAACCATGGAGTACCCGATCCATGACCCCGCTACCCCAGGGCCCCTTATTGTTACCACACCCCGTTCTGACCTCGCCTCGTCTTTTGGCCACTCTTCGGACATTCCTAAGGCCCCTGTACCTCTTGCTGGTGCTGTTTCCTCACCCGCTTCAGGTACCGGGGCTTCCACTGACTCCTTCAATTTGTCTGACCTCTGCGCTCCTTTGACTATGCTTCCGGCTTCTCCCTCTACAGTATGACGATTTTCGAATTGCCAGCCCATCCCACGTCGGACCAACTCTGGTCCCACTTCTAAACTTCAACGACAATCTCCTAATGATGTTACTTCGTTACCTTCCCTTTCTACTCGGAAAAGACCGACACGTCATGCACTCCCTCTCCACACTCGGTTTCAGACCACACATTGGACTAAATTCTTTACATTAACACAGACTTCTACTGCCTATCTTTCCGACCATAGTATTGGCAAAGCGCTCCTACGCCACGTTGGTAGAGATATTTCCTTTTATGCTCTTAAGAGTGGTACACGCATCATCACAGTCCAGAATTCTACCCAAGCTCATGATCTTTATCTTTCACATATAGATACTGTTAATATCACTATCAAAAAAAACATCATTCCCTCAATTCTTGTAGTGGTACTGTTACTCTGCCCCATACCATAGTCCAACAGAATTTCCAGACATGTGGCATTGACATTTTCGAACAGCTGGAACTCCAAGATCTCCCAATTCTCAAGGTAGACACTTGTGTTCTTCCTGCCCGTGGGCAAAGACAGTACCCTTGCAATGTGGCTCGTTTAACTTTTGACAGCCGTGAACTCCCATCCTCTGTATATAGCAGGACATCGGTTACAAGTTCGGAAGGTGATCCCTACACTGCAACAGTGTAGGAATTGCTGGCGATTTGGCCACCCAGCAAAATATTGCAGATCTATAGCAGAATGCCCAGTCTGTGGTGCCGAATACCATTCTAATACGTCTTGAAGTCGAACTCCCTCTTGCCTTAATTGTCATGAGGCTCGCCCTTCATACTCACGCCGTTGCCAAGTCGACTTAAATGAGCGGAAAATTCGTTGCCTCAGAGGCAGGTCTCCCTTATGCTATGGCGGTTTCTCATCTCCGCCTCCAAGGGAGACTACCCAGTGTTTCTTATTCTCGTGTTTCAAAATGCTCCCCCACTTCTGGGGTCCCATCTTCTGCAGCCTCCTCTGTGGTTGCCAGTCCCATAGTCACTCCTGTATCTAATTCTTGTGCTGTCCTGGGCTCAGACGTCCCTACTTCAACACCTCAGTCTGTCCTCACTTCGTGTTCTCCCTCACAAACCCCGGTATCGAGAACACCTCGTACGACACCTCCCAATCGTCCCTCTACTTCTCAGAGGTCCAAAAAATCTCCTTTAACCCTTAAACGGTCCAAACGTATATATACGTTCACTCGCGCAGCACCCCGAATATTTTGAAAAAAAAAAAAAAATTATATATATATAAAAAAAAAGACCACATTTTTTTAAGTGTTTTAGCATAAAAAAAATTTAGGGTCAGTACTTACCGAGGTATGAGGCCGTGAAGTTGGCACTTGGCGATCACCTGACGGCAACATGGAGCACTGCTGCTTGCAGAAATTCAACATATTTACCGTTTTCTTCCATTTTTTTTTTTTAATTTTCTTGGTTTTTATATGATAATTATGTTTCATAGTAATTCATTTGATATCAATGCCAATTTTTGTTTATACACCAATATTACATACGAAATTTTTATCAAAACGTCATAAACACACATGTACACACTGACAGGTGAATTTGCACACCTGACTGAATCACACATTATTATCTACAACTACAGTTGACCCCCGCTTAACGATCACCTCCAAATGCGACCAATTATGTAAATGTATTTATGTAAGTGCGTTTGTACGTGTATGTTTGGGGGTCTGAAATGGACTAATCTACTTCACAATATTCCTTATGGGAAAAAATTCGGTCAGTACTGGCACCTGAACATACTACTGGAATGAAAAAAGTTCGTTAACCGGGGTTCCACTGTATATACAAGTATTTACATGTCCCACTTATGTTTCTAGAACTCCACAATTGTATGATACTCCATGAAGCATGGATTCATACAGAGTGCCACCCCACACTGGTGACACGAATCGTGTGTCCTTCCGCTGTTGGGGTCGTTTTTTGGTGGTAGCACACACAATACACTTTTTCTGGGCATTCTTCTTCTTTTGGGTAGGTGGTATTGGTACCAGATAGTGACAGTTAGGAGTGATTCGGTCTGGCACTTCCCCCACTGGCTGTGGTTGGGGGACAGGTTGTGGTGCGACAGGTCGCTGTTGAGGGGAAGGTACAGGTGTGGTACCATACTTTCTTGCTATCTGTTTGACGAGATTCAGAGAGAAATCTGCAAAACGTTGTCATTTTCCAGTCTTTACTTCATACATATTGAATGCATTGAGCACTGCAATGTCTACAAGGTGAAAAAACAGTTTTATATACCACTTGCGACTCCTACGCACACAGTCAACAAACCCTATCATCATGTCACACTTGTCAACTAGTCGCATGTTGTTCGTATAGTCCACGACAGCAAGTGGCTTCACAATAGGTTCGTTGTTGAACTTGCTCAGTCTGTCTGTTTGTACCATCTCGTTTCTGTGGATGGTTGATAGCAATGTCACGTCTCGTTTGTCATGCCATGTCAGTGCCATGATGTCATTAGCATGAAACTCTTGCACTTCACCTTCAACACTGCCTCCAATGAACCTTGGCATATGTTTCCTATTCCTTCTCACTGTTCCACATACATCAGTATTGCTCACACGTAGGAAATCAGCAAGCATAGGGGTTGTATACCAGTTGTCTGTGTACAATGTATGGCCCTTGCCAAGGTATGGTTCCATCATCCTGCGAACAACATCACCGGAAATGTCCAACATCCTTCTGTCATCATCGAGTGTTTTTCCCTGTGTATACAATAACATCCAACACAAGACCACTCTCACAGTCACACATAAAAAGTTTTATACCAAAGCGATTACGTTTGCTCAGTATATATTGCTTGAATGACAGGCGTCCCTTGAACAGAATCAAGGACTCATCAACAACAATGTTCTTGAAGGGATAAAAGTATACACTGAATTTCTGCTTCAAATACATAAACACTTTCCGGATTTTGTATAGAAGGTCATTTCTGTCTGGCGTATTTCTGTCTGCGAAGTGCAACATTCGTAGCAAGAGTGAATCTGTTGCAGGGAAGGTGGTCACGGAAAACTGGAGTACTGATGAAGTGGTCTGTAGACCAGTAATTACGTATATTGTTCTTATAGATATGTGGCATAAGCATGACAGTGGCAAGGAATAAATACATTTCAGCCACTGTTGTGTCTTTCCAACCTCTGTTGTGTTGTTCATAACATATTGGTAATAAATGTTTGTCTGAGTCACTATTAAGTTCATTATAGGCTCGTCAAAGTACAACTGGAAATAGTCTAACTCTGTAGACTCATTCGTTATGGGACTTTCTGGCTGGATACCACTTCCACTAGCATCAAAATCACAAGGTTGTGGCACGAATATACTTTGTGTCCAGTTCCACTCACGATCACATGGTGCAGGGTGGACCTGTGGCATGGGGCGAGGGGGGGCAGGAGGAGGAGGGAGAGGAGTGGAGGCAGCACATGGTTGAGGGGGTGCCCGGCAGTCCTTTGTCTGTCCACCCACTGCGCCATGTGCTCCAGGCACCATGCCACCCACTACTTCCTCCATCCCCGCATACTCCCCTTCATGATCACTTTCACTATCAGTGGCTGGGGTTTTGGATTGTGACCTGCCACGACCCTTGGGGATTGCATATGGCACACTGCCTGAACGTAGATAATGACGCCTAAAAGTATGTTTCACTGGTGAATAATGAACGTCACTATCACTAGATGAATCCTCAATTGGCATAAAATCAATCTCATCATCACTTACATCACTTTCACTATCACTACTAAAACACTGGGAAAATGATAGTTTCCTCTTGCAAAGTTGCGTATGGGTAACACTTGCCACTCCAGAGGTGCTTGGCCCAGGGTCTTCTGTGGCCACACTGGCTACCCC